GGATAGTTTGGGGAGGTTGAAGGGGGTGGCCGCCGTGAAGCCAGCAGCTCCAGTCGCCCGTGAGACCGTTGCGCCAGTCGCCCGTGAGCCCGTTGCGCCAGTCGCCCGTGAGCCCGTTGCTCCAGTCGCCCGTGAGTCCGTTGCTCGTCTGCCGCTACTTTTAGCCGCGGAGCCAGTTACTCCAGTAGCCCGTGTGCCAGTTGCTCCAGTTGCCAGTGTGCCAGTTGCTCCAGTTGCCCGTGTGCCAGTTGCTCCAGTTGCGCCGTGTGCCAGCAGCTTCAGCTGCCGCCCACTACCTCCTCTCCTCTCATAGTCTCTTTCCTCCTCCTCACTTGCCCGTTGTGACTACCACTAGCTTTGCTCATAATTGTGAACTTTAAACTATTGCTTCTTGAACTTGTGCTCAGAATGTGTGGTGACATTGTGATCCACCCTGAGCTTGTACTGCTTTGCTTGCTCTGCTGATTACACCCCACTTTGGCTATGGGGGTGTGTCAGAATATTATGCTCTAGCCTGTAGTGGGGTGCTCTATAGCGAGTACAACCCTTCTAGGGTTTGCTATTTGTATCCTCATTCTTGCTAGTGCAACCTCCCTCTTTTGCCTAAACTTCTCTTGCCTAGCTAGGACTTACCTAGCTATGGCGCCTTCTTCTACTGCTTATCTTCACACGCCAGGTGAAACTAGGCAAGGAACGGCTGGAGCACGGAGCAAACTGAGCTACGAGCGAGGAGCGAGAACGGCTGGAGCGAGAACGGCTGGAGGTAGAACGGCTGGAGCACAACCGGCTGGAGCTAGAAACGGCGAGCTAGGGCTGGCTGGAGGTAGGAACGGCCGAAGCTAGAGACCGTAAGTGCGGCTGTCGGCTGCCGCTAGTAGAGCCACTGGCTGGCAGTGGAACGTACGTGCGAAAGTAGGGGCTGCAGTACTGACGGCTGCGGGATGCAGGCAACTGTGCAGGTCGTCCGGCAAGCAGGAACGCGGTCGATAGTTGCAGGCCCCCACCCTAAACCCTTTTTTTTTTTTGGTTGCGAAGCAACCTATTACAATCGATTTTGCCAGTTTTTTTTTTTTTTTTTTTTTTTTTTTTTTTTTTCTTTTTTTTTTTCACATTTTCACATTTTATTTATTTAAAATAAAATCTGAAAATGGAAAAAAAGAAAACTGGATGCATTAATTGCTAGCTATGTAACCAACAAGAGGTCCAGTCTAGTTCAATTATACTAACATGGTGGTACTGATTTTTTGGACAACTGTTTTTTTATTTACTTTGTTGTGATTTACTACCGTATAATATGCATATGAAAATATGAATGTAATGATCGGTGAATGTAGATGAATAGAATGATATTATATAAAATACGATATATTGTGTAAGATATGATATGATAAATGATAAATGCATGCCTTAAGTTTGATATGAATAATGCTTTTTTAGTACTGACAATCCATGATGCATATATATAATGATAAAGATGCGTGAAAGCTAACGACCCAAAAACTATGCTACCGCATCCCCTGCCTAGCATGTCGAGGAGCTGATAGCATAATCTTTGAACAATCTGCAGTCACATGAAACAACACAATCTATGAACTCTAAAAAGATGGTCAACTCTATTATCTCCAGTTCAAGTGGGCTCCCGACAGGCGCGCCATTGAACCTTTGGGTAAAAATTATAGAGCCGATTCACCTTTTTAAAACCCACAAACATGCATTGTTGATGCAATTATAGATGAACATGGATGCACATTCACACATACAAACATGCAAACATAACCACACACGTACGCACACAAACCTCAAAACTCAAACGAAACAAGCAGAAAACATGCAAGGAAATTTACCAAAACAAAACAAGTATCCTACAGATCATCAACCACTGTTATCGTTTCATACTCCACATTAAAAAGGACTTCTTGAAGGATACAGCAAAGCATATGAGGAGAAAACAGGGAGAGAAAGGGGAAATACAATGGGCAAAATGAGAGATACACTACGAAATAACCAATGAAAACAATCAGGAAATTGAAGATAACAGAAAAAAAAACAGATTTGTAAGAATCAGCAGATACACAGGGTTTAGGGTTGAACATCAGTAAATAAAGTTGGAATCAAGAACATACGACTTACAAACGAGAGAGAGAGAGAGAGAGAGAGAGAGAGAGAGAGAGAGGGAACGAGAGAGAGGGAACGTGAGAGAGGGAACGTGAGAGAGGGAACGAGAGAGAGGGAACGAGAGAGAGGGAACGAGAGAGAGGGAACGAGAGAGAGGGAACGAGAGAGAGGGAACGAGAGAGAGGGAACGAGAGAGAGGGAACGAGAGAGAGGGAACAAGAGAGAGGGAACGAGAGAGAGGGAACGAGGAATCGCGGAATCGATTGAAAGATGAATCGAGGAAGTGGAAGGCACTAACGGAAGGAAAGAGACAAAAACAACATAAAAAGTGGTTAATTAAGAAAGTATGAGAATAAGGTGTGATGAAAAAAACAGAAAACCAATAAACGAATTCAAATCTAACATACAAACCTATAACATGTGATACTTGGCTGCAGATCCATGTAGATAGAACTTCTTCTACCGTAAGTCTTATTTCTAACTTAGGAGACAATATAATCACCATTGGTAGGTAAGATTGAACTATAGAATGCTACAAACTTCTCTTCTACTCTCCTTATTTTCCACACTCATTCTCTCCTTCATTCTCTCTCAAACTCCCTCTTTCTCTCTCATGCTGTCTCTTTCTCAAGCTCTTCTCTCACCAAAATTCTGCCAACTTCGTTGCTGCAACTGACGCTGATAGCACGCCTGGAGATGGAGAGCGTGGTGGTGTCGCCTCCCCCTTAGCGCGCCAGGCACGAGCAAAGCCAGCGCGCCACGCACCAGCATAACGATTCCAGCGAGAGTATAAAACATGGGAAACGGAAGAGAGACACGCACGGAGGGAGAGAAGAGAGATAGACTTAAGAACAACAGACCACAACGAGTTAAAGGGAACACCGAAGAACGAAGGCATGTGAGATGAAAGAAAAACCAACACAATAAATAACAATAGAAGCAAAGAAAGGAAAGGAAATACAAGAAATCATGACTTCTGACCTTCTGTTCATGAAGTACGAACTCACCTAGCGACGAGTAGATGGCGCATAGATAGCAGGCGAACCGAAATAAGGACGCCTAAACTGCTAAGATAGAAAAGAAGGAGCAAATAAGCTTGAATCGAATGAACGGAGAACGAAACGTGAAGACTAATGGATAACGATATGATGACATGGGTTTCAAAGAGTAAGACAATATGAAAATCTTTGAAAACAGCCCTACTTAGTCGGAATGGCACTAACCCTTCAAGGATACGAGATTAAGATTAGTTGTCCTAACTTAAAAATCCTAGCGTAGGCCTAGTTGATAGCTTAGAATAAGATTCTCCTCACCTTTGAGCGGGTAGGAGGAGCGTGACTAGTAGCCGTGTGTACAAGAACAAGCTTGAGTGGCGAGAGGAAAGGGAGGGAAAAGGCCGACACAAACCCTAAGAGTATGCTGATTCGTCGCGTCAAAATGTGGCGTATGTTTTTGTTGGATAATGTTTAGTAGTAGTCCAAGCTTAGTCGTTTGAGTTCTGGGTTGCAGGCGAAAGGTTATAAGTTCAAACCTTGCTATTGTCCTTTTGTAACAGCTTTCAATTAGCATGTAGTGACACAAACTGTCATGCTACTTAACACAAGCTTCACAAAATAATGGGTGTAGTTATGCGCGACGCTTCGCAACCCTAAGACGATTTCCTCGCCTCTTGTTTTTTTGTTTTTAGGGTTTTTTTTTTTTTTTTTTTTCTGGCGCTAAAGCGCTCCGGGGCGCGCTGCCTGCAGGGTGTGCTGCCTGCAGGGTGTGCTGCCTGCGGGGCGCGCTACCCGCGGGGCGCGCCGCCTGCGGGGCTGGGGCGACGGGCCAGGGCGCGGGCTGGGGCGACGGGCTAAGGCGGGCGCCTGGGCGACGGGCTAGGGCGGGCGCCTGGGCGACGGGCTAGGGCGCGGGCCTGGGTGACGGGCTACGGCGTGGGCCTGGGCGACGGGCTAGGGCGGGCGCCTGGGCGACGGGCTAGGGCGCGGGCCCGGGCGACCGGCTAGGGCGGGCGCCTGGGCGACGGGCTGGGGCGGGCGCCTGGGCGACGGGCTGGGGCGGGCGTCTGGGCGACGGGCTGGGGCGGGCGCCTGGGCGACGGGCTGGGGCGGGCGCCTGGGCGACGGGCTGGTGCGGGCGCCTGGGCGACGGGCTAGGGCGGGCGCCTGGGCGACGGGCTCGGGCGGGCGCCTGGGCGACGGGCTAGGGCGGGCGCCTGGGCGACGGGCTAGGGCGGGCGCCTGGGCGTCGGGCTTGGGCGGGCGCCTGGGCGACGGGCTAGGGCGGGCGCCTGGGCGTCGGGCTAGGGCGGGCGCCTTGGCGACGGGCTAGGGGCGCTGAGGGCGCTAACGCGCGGAGGAGGAGGGCGCTAAGGCGTGGAGATGGCGCGGAGGGCGCGGAGGCTAAGGCGCGGAGGGCGCGGAGGCGCGGAGGGCGCGGAGGGCGCGGAGGGCGCGGAGGGCGCGGAGGGTGCAGAGGGCGCGGAGGGCGCAAGGGTGCGGAGGGCGCTAGGGCGCGAGCTAGGCTAGGCTAGGCGAGAGGATCGACACCTACTCATGATACCATCTCAAAGTTAGCGAACAACGGAATGTGTGAACTAGGGAAACAAGGGATACAAATAGCAACCCTAAGAGTGTTGTACTCCCTAGAGTGCTACTCACTGTAGCCTAAGAACATATAATAACGTTTGACAGTACACATCACTGTCTACAAGTCATAATGTACGGTATTCCCAACAGCAGCTGGGAGCTGCTCTATTGGTGTCACCGTTGTGCCAACACACCATCCAGTGTTGTAACAAGTATGTACAGTTGGTGTCACCGTTGTAACCCATGTATGCTCCCAACAGCAGCTGGGAGTTGAGTCCGGGCATTGCTATGAGGGCTCTTTCACGAGCTCCTTCTGTGCGCCCTGCTGCTGCTGCAGCCTGGCCTCGCCTGCCTCTCACGCACCGAACCCTCTCTCCTCCCCGCCTGCTGCTTCACCCCCTCCCTGCCACACACGCCACTTGCCACTGCTCTGCCACCTGCTGCCTTCACACCACCCTGCCTTCCACCTGCTGCCCTCCCTGCTGCTCCCTCCGTACACCCCTCCCCCTCTCTCCTCTTCACCCCACTCGCCTGCCTGCTGCTGGCCTTGCTAGTTGCTCTCACAAATGATGCAGCACCACATGATCCCGCAACCGCTGCTGCTGCTGCACATGGGGCAGAGCTTGCATGCGTGTTGTTGGCCTTACCACCCTTCACGCCCATGCTCACCACCTTGCTGCTGCACCCATTCTTGCCCTTCGCGCTTTCAACCCCCACCTTGCACCTTGCTGCAACAGCAGGCTTTGGCTTCTGTGCTGTTGCTGCTGCTCCTCTCACTGATGATGCCGCAGCAGGTGATTTCACTGATGTTTCAGCTGCGGGCGAGGGAGCAGCTGGTGCTCCGGATACTGCTACAGCCGCTGCTGCTGCAGATGCAGGAGGCACGGTTTTGCGAGTCAGATTCGCCACAGCATCAGGATGCTTGGGCAAGAAGCAGGTGCGCAGGGCGGCTTCAATGGCGACTTCAAGCTCCATGGCCCATGATTTCTCCTTGCTCAGCTTGTCCCACCTCAGGTAAGCAGCACGTGTCATTGCAAAATCCATAGCTCGAACCTCCTGACGCAGCTTCGACCACCTCGCTTTCTCACTCGGATCAGCAGCACGTGCACACGCCTCCTCGGATATTGTTCCTGTGGTCACACTCGCTTCAGGCACCTGTGGTGTGGTTGAAGCCACTGGAGCCACAAGCGCTACCTCAGGCACCACCACAGGCGCAACCACAGCAGATGGTGTGACGGGAGCAGCAGCAGCAGATGGTGAGAGGGGAGTAGCAGTGACGACCGCAGGTGCAAGCACGACAGCAGCAGCCTTGCCTCCGAAGCGGCCGATTCCAGGCCGCTTCACATCAGGTGCGTCAGCTACGTACGACTTCATGGGCTTGTGCTGGGCGTTAGCGATGCCTTGGGAGGACGACGCATGCATGTGCTTCGCCAGATTCTCCAGCAGCGGCCTCACGCTCTTTAGAAGCACGCTGCTGCAGCACGTCTCACTGTCGCCGTTGAGAGCAGCAGCAGGAAGTTGGAAATCGGCTACCTTGTCAATGGTAGGCTTCACAGGAGAGTATGATGCTGTAGGCGAGAAGACCGTTCGAAGCGTGCCGAACCTGCCAATGCCTCGGGTAGGCGTGGCAGGACTTGAGGTTGAAGAACCCGAGTTGAAGGTATTCGCGATTCCGTTGTTAACAAGGCAGCAGTCCATGTTAATAAACGGGAGATCGCTTCACAGAAGCTTGGTGAGAGGACAGCAACAAGATCTGAAAGCTGTGAGTATTGAGGTTTCAGCAGAGGACGACCGGGGGTACTGGAGCAGATCCGGATGTCCCAATAGCGAAATCAGCAGAGCAGAAGAGGATGTGCGAATGAAAATATGGAACTGTCGCGACCCCATTTCTACCCCCCTCCGCTCAAACCCTCGCCTCCACGCCTCTGCCTGTCCATTGGAGTTTCACCCTCAACTTGCCTCGCTGGCCGCTGCGCTGCACGCCACGTCACATGCTTTCAGAGTGGTTCGAAATAACAAAGAAAGTTCGCCGCAGCCATTCTCGAGGCGGCTATGATTGGGGTTTCAGATTCGTGCTTCATCGAGGCGCCTGAGCTACGTTCCCGCCAACTTTTGAAACCAACGGACTGCCAGCGAAGGCGAAACATTTCGCAAAGACATGGCACTGCCGCACGCGACGGATCTGGCGAACGAACGAACGTTGATGGTTCGGGATTCAGTTACGTGCGTAGTCGAAACGCCTCATTTCGTTGGCGCTACCTTTTCGTCGCAAGCCATCTGGCAAACCGAATCTGGTACCTGCGAATGTTACCATGATTGTTACTAGCGAGTGTTACTGCGACTGTCACTACTGACGAGCATTTGGAGCCTTCGTAACGTACTGAACGAGCGCTGTGCGACGGATCTGGACGACAGATCCGCCGCTGGAGGTGGAAGTTGGGATTCTGGCTGGCTCCAGCTGGTAGGCATTGGGAGTGCCGAGGAAGGGGTACTAGAGCTGAATAGATGCCCTTTATTGAGTCACTTCGATTCTCTGTAAGAAGGTTTAGAAATCACATCCTTCTGCTCTAAAACCATTACACCAAAACAAGAATGATAATTTGCTTACTGTAATAAGAGGTAACGTTTCTGCCAGTCATAGATTACCTAAGCGTTTAATTGAATTGCTGGTAAGTGGTTAAAAAACTGTTCTCAACATGGCCATGCCAACAGACACACCTCTGCATGCAACCAGATCATCCCATCCCTACTCACAATCACTCCTATCGCTAGAAACCCGCAAATGGTCGACGATTTCGTTTGGTCATTACAATTTTACACGCCCTAAGGGGGATACATTTTGCAATCGCCTGGGTCCATCCCATGTGTCACGATGATGCGTGAAGCTTCTTCATTAAAATCTTGTTCATGAGCGCCGGGTTCACTCGACCCCCCGATGCCTTCATTACCTGCCAGGGAGCATGGGGAATGGGCATGGTTGCATACCACATGCATGGATAGAGGGACAGAAAGAGGCACACACTATGACAGCATGCGACGATATATAGCTGCAACGATTAACATTATTACATGCTGTGACGAGCACAAGCAGCCTCAAAGAAAAAACTCCTCACACCTCAATTCCCTCACACCTCAATTCCCTCACACCTCAATTCCCTCACACCTCAATTCCCTCACACCTCAATTACCTCACACCTCGATTCCCTCACACCACAATTCCCTCACACCTCAATTCCCTCACACCTCAATTACCTCATACCTCAATTCCCTCACACCTCAATTCCCTCACACCTGCCCGGTGAAGAAGCCCACCTGCCCGGTGAAGAAGCCCAACTGCCCGGTGAAGAAACCCACCTTCCCGGTGAAGAAACCCACCTGCTCGGTGAAGAAGGCCACCTGCCCGGTGAAGAAACCCACCTGCCCGGTGAAGAAACCCACCTGCCCGGTGAAGAAGCCCACCTGCCCGGTGAAGAAGCCCACCTGCCCGGTGAAGAAGCCCACCTGCCCGGTGAAGAAGCCCTGCAGTTTGGTCTTGCCGGCGCGGAACTGCTCCACCTGCTTGGGGTTGCCCTCCAGCACCTCCTCCACCATCCGCTCTATGGCCGCCTCGTCTGAGATCTGATGCCATGCCACGCCACGCCACGCCATGCCACGCCACACCACGCCATGCCACGCCATGCCATGCCATCTCACCGCAGCATGCGCGGTGGAGGGCACATGGGGGGATGGGCAGGTCATGGAGAGGGTGAGGGGTGGCTCCTCTCAGAAAGCAGGTAGCAAAGAGCCTTCAAAGGGCGTGGGGCATCTCTGCTTGCAACACACAGGTGGGGCATCTCTGCTCGCAACACACAGGTGGGGCATCTCTGCTCGCAACACACAGGTGGGGCATCTCTGCTCGCAGCACACAGGTGGGGCATCTCTGCTCGCAGCACACAGGTGGGGCATCTCTGCTTGCAGCACACAGGTGGGGCATCTCTGCTTGCAGCACACAGGTGGGGCATCTCTGCTTGCAGCACACAGGTGGGGCATCTCTGCTTGCAACACACAGGTGGGGCATCTCTGCTCGCAACACACAGGTGGGGCATCTCTGCTTGCAGCACACAGGTGGGGCATCTCTGCTTGCAACACACAGGTGGGGCATCTCTGCTCGCAACACACAGGTGGGGCATCTCTGCTCGCAACACACAGGTGGGGCATCTCTGCTCGCAACACACAGGTGGGGCATCTCTGCTTGCAACACACAGGTGGGGCATCTCTGCTCGCAACACACAGGTGGGGCATCTCTGCTCGCAACACACAGGTGGGGCATCTCTGCTCGCAACACACAGGTGGGGCATCTCTGCTCGCAACACACAGGTGGGGCATCTCTGCTCGCAACACACAGGTGGGGCATCTCTGCTCGCAACACACAGGTGGGGCATCTCTGCTCGCAACACACAGGTGGGGCATCTCTGCTCGGAACACACAGGTGCCGCGAGCCCGACATGGATCTCCGGTGTTCATATCTTGGCAATGCATATGCACCAAGTGTTTCAATTCAACAGTCTCCCACTTCAGCTGGCAGCAAGTAGGACAGACAGGGTTTGCCATATGGTTGAGAATGGTTGAGAGATAACATTTTCGCAGCCATGCGAGTGCAGAGAGTCAAGCGAGTGCAGAGAGTCAAGCGAGTGCAGAGAGTCAAGCGAGTGCAGAGAGTCAAGCGACTGCAGAGAGTCAAGCGAGTGCAGAGAGTCAAGCGAGTGCAGAGAGTCAAGCGAGTGCAGAGAGTCAAGCGAGTGCAGAGAGTCAAGCGAGTGCAGAGAGTCAAGCGAGTGCAGAGAGTCAAGCGAGTGCAGAGAGTCAAGCGAGACCAAAGTAAATGTCCAACAGTGCTGTCAAAATCAGTTTTTTTTTTGGAAACTCCAGACACGTTTTCTGAATCGGGCTAAGGTGATAAAGCGACAACGAAACAAGGTGGGTTCGTTGTTGCAATGTGAAATATTGAACTTCTGTGTGGCACACTCCATCCCCGTATACTGTGGCACACTCCGTCCCCGTATACTGTGGCACACTCCATCCCCGTATACTGTGGCACACTCCATCCCCGTATACTGTGGCACACTCCATCCCCATATACACACAAATGATTTGGTCACGCCCTTCAATATCACACCTCACCGCCGCGCCTCTCATGCGCTCACCTGCAGCAGCCCCTTGCCTCACCTGCAGCAGCCCCTTGCCTCACCTGCAGCAGCCCCTTGCCTCACCTGCAGCAGCCCCTTGCCTCACCTGCAGCAGCCCCTTGCCTCACCTGCAGCAGCCCCTTGCCTCACCTGCAGCAGCCCCTTGGCCTCCACCAGCTTGCGTGCACTGCCGCCCTCCGAGAATAGCACTGGCAGCAGCTGCTAGGCGCGCGAGAGGGACGCACATGGGGAGAAGTGGGGGGGGAAGTGGGGGAGAGATGGGAGAACGGAAGGGGGAGGAGGAGAGAGAGGCAGCATGCGTAGGTGGAAGGAAGGTGAGCTGTAAGGAGTGCATTCTGGATGCAAGAGGTCAACAAAAAGAGAGACTGCACGGAGCAAGCTGAGTTCAAGTTACCATGCCCATTGTGGATTTGTGGATTTAGCTAATTAGGCTAAGATGTCACAAAAAGGTGATTCCTTGCTGAAATAAGCGCTCAACTAGGAGCCATGGAAGAAGACGATATAACAAGTTGGACTAAAAGTGTGTCGAGATGCAGAGTGAAGAGCAGGTTGGGGTGAAACCAATAGTAATATGAAAATGAACGAAGCTGAACCTGAAACCTAGTGGCGGCCCACAAACCACATAAGGCCATTGCAACTAGTAACGTACGCTCTACCCTACTCCACCGCTTTCATTCTAGAATGTGACCATGTGCACACACTATCACTGCTGTACTGAGCCCTGCCAACCACTGCACATGTGCCACGCACCTCCATTCCACCCACTGCATGCCATGCCACGCACCTCCATTCCACCCACTGCATGCCATGCCACGCACCTCCATTCCACCCACTGCATGCCATGCCACGCACCTCCTTTCCGATCTTGCCGCTGATGGTGCCGTCCTGAATGTGCGCGATGAGCTCCGCCAGGCTGGCGGGCGGCATGCGGGCGGCCATGGTCGGCACGGAGCAGCGGTGCGCCTTGAGCAGCGCCGTCACGTCGCCCATCAGCCAGTTGGCCGCCGCCTTGGGGTCCGCGCCCGCTGCCAGCACGCCATCACAGTAGTCCGAAAACTGTTCGGCAGTTGGGTTGGGGGGGGAGAGGGAGGGCTTTGAGGTGACTTTTGAGTCGACTCAAAAGGCGGCCGCCTTCGGGTCCGCGCCCGCTGCCAGCACTCCGTCACAGTAGTCCGAGAACTGCCGCGCTTGGGGGGGGGAGGGAGGAAGGGGCTGTCAGTAACGGACAGGTGGGCTGCGGGGGGCTTATTTCACGCAGCACGCCGCCACAGTGGTCCGAGAACTGCCGCGGTTGGGGGGGAGAGGAAGGGCTTTGCAGATGATGATGCAGAGGTGAGAGGCGATGCAGAGGTGAGAGGCGATGCAGAGGTGAGATGCGATGCAGAGGTGAGAGGCGATGCAGAGGTGAGAGGCGATGCAGAGGTGAGAGGCGATGCACAGGCGCGATGTGAAGGCGCTGCAAGGATGGTGCACACATGGGAGCAGGGAAGCATGCACCCATGGGAGCACGGAAGAGGCCCATGTGCTCCCACATGCGTGCACACATGCCTTGGCAGCAACTTTGCTCCCCCCATTCCATCACCTCACAGCAGAACCCACACCTCTATATAATAGTCTGATAAACTCCTTACTATCACACAACATCACTTTGTAATCACCGCCTCCTCAACACAGCCTTGCCATCACCTCCCTACAATCACATCCCCACAGTCATCTCCCCACAGTCACCTCCCCACAGTCACCTCCCCACAGTCACCTCCCCACAGTCACCTCCCCACAGTCACCTCCCTACAATCACCTCCCTACAATCACCTCCCTACAATCACCTCCCTACGATCACCCCCCTCCCTATAATCATCTCCCTACACTACACTCACCTGCCCACAATCACCTTCGCCCATGGACGCACGCACCTCCCGGTCGTCCACGAGCACGAGCACGTCCTGCAGAAATCACTTTTGAGAATTCTCAAAAGTGAGCTCAAAACAAGCCCATGGACGCAACGCACCTCCCTGTCCGCTTTTGACAGCGCAACGCACCTCCCTGGCGTCCACCTCCCTGCCGGTCAGTACAAGCCCATGGGCGCACGCACCTCCCGGTCGTCCACGAGCACGAGTGTGTCCTGCATGGACAGCCCCAGCGCCTGCTCCCATTCGGCACCACTAATGAAGGCTTGCTAGGAGCTCCCCTACCAATCTGCTGCTGCTGCTCGCTGGAATATGTCTAACGACCTGGACGCACCTGCCGGTCGTCCACGAGCACGAGCACGTCCTGCAACGAGCACGTCCTGCAACGAGCACGTCGCCCATGGACGCACCTGCAGTCTAAAGAGAATCTTTACACGCACCTCCCTGTCGTCCACGAGCACGAGCACGTCCTGCATGGACAGCCCCAGCGCCTCGTAGCGCCGCCGCCGCTGCTCCGGCAGTTCCGGCAGGCCCGCGTGCAGGTGGTGCAGGAAGGCGTCTTCCAGGTGCAGCGCGGGCAGGTCCGGGTCGGGGAAGTACCGATAGTCCGCCAGGCCCTCCTTGGACCTCATCGCTGCTGTTTCCTGCCACGGGGAAGGGGGGGGGGTAGGGGGAGGGGGGGGGAGGAGAAGGGAGATTAGTTAGATTGATAGATCTATAAACTTCGACGGTAAGGAAAGTGGCGGTTCATGTGTCCATGTAGCACAAAAATGAGGAGTTAGGAATGGAAGGTGTCGGCATGAATAAGCTCGTAGCTGGCTTGTCGCGAGCCGAGCAATGGTGACAGGTTGGGGCTCGTGCCTCGTGACAAGCCTTGTGAGGCAGGTGCGCTCGTGGCAAGCCTTGTGAGGCAGGTACGCTCGTGACAAGCCTTGTGAGGCAGGTGCGCTCGTGGCAAGCCTTGTGAGGCAGGTACGCTCGTGGCAAGCCTTGTGAGGCAGGTGCGCTCGTGGCAAGCCTTGTGAGGCAGGTACGCTCGTGACAGGCCTGCCAGGCTTCTCATAAGCCCCTCTCTGGCTAGTGTTACAAACGGAACGTCGACAAGTAAGCTCTCTAATCATGTCCAACAAATTCAAGTAGTGGTAGCCTAAGTGCTCTCGCAAGGGCTGAAACGAGGAGAGAGGAAGGAGCCTAGTAGTAGCCTAGTAGTAGCCTAGTAGTAGCCTAGTAGTAGCCTAGTAGTAGCCTAGTAGTAGCCTAGTAGTAGCCTAGTAGTAGCCTAAGTGCTCTCGCAAGGGCTGAAACGAGGAGAGAAAGGAAGGAGCAATGGGTTAAAATGGTGATTGCTTCCATCAGCTCGCTGCTGCCTCCTTTCCCCCCCTCATCCCACAGCCTCGTCTCACCTGCCTGCCCTCATCCCACAGCCTCGTCTCACCTGCCTGCCCTCATCCCACAGCCTCGTCTCCTGCACGATGTGCTGCGCGTTGCCGTCCCTGAGCAGCTGTGACTGCCGCGTGATTTCAAAGTCGATGGCACGTTGCATCTCCTTGAAAGAGTTCATGTTCTTGATCTCCACCTGCCATGCCACCGGGGCGGGGCAACACGGACACGCAACGAGTTTAGGCTACTCATCATCGCCAACTGGCATCGAGAAGAACGGGCAACGGGCTAGTTAAGCTGAATGAACGCATGTGGTGAGCGAGCGAGGGAGCGAGCGAGGGAGCGAGCAAGCAATGTATGCATTGGGAGCAAAGGAGCATTCCAAATGTTCATGGCTACAAACGAGTCCGACACGCAACGCAAGCACTCGTCTTCACGGACCTGCCATGCCATATGCTCCCCAGCCCAGCCCATCACCCTGTAGTAACGAGTCGTGTTTTGAGTCGACTGAAAACACGACAAACGAGTCCAACATGCTATGCAAGCACTCGTCTTCACGGACCTGCCATGCCATGCCATGCCATGCCATGCCATATGCATGCATTGTTCTCCAGCCCAGCCCATCACCCTCTCCTCTAGCCCGTATTGTTCTCACCTTGTTGCCGAGCCTCTGTCCTTGAGGCCGAACCTCTCCCCCTTGTGCCGAACCTCTCTTTTTGGTGCGGCCGGACCTCTGACTCACCTTGGTGCCAAGGGTGGTTTGACCGCGGGGCCGCACGGAGACGTTGACATCGCAGCGCATGGAGCCCTCCGCCATGTTGCCGTTGCCCACCCCCACGTACCGCACCTGATGACGTGCCACCGCACCGCACCACACACACACCGACAGGGAGGCCCACAGTGCAGGGGAGCGCACGCACACAAGGCAGTGTCGCATGGGTTGAGAGCGGTGCATGGTTGCATGAGTGCACGGGTGTATGGAGCATGGGTGGTTGCATTACAATACAGGCTAAGAAAAACAAACTGACCGGAAACAAGGGCACGTAGAAGTTTATCAATGGGCAAGGCAATTATTTGGGCACAGGGGACAGGGGACAGGGCACAAGGCACAGCACACAGCACACAGCACACAGCACACAGCACACAGCACACAGCACACAGCACACAGCACACAGAACACAGCACACGCCACGGTACCAGTCTCTGCATCTCGGCGGCGTATTCAGCTGCCTCTGCCCCGGAGCGCATGTCGGGCTCAGATACCACCTCCACCAGTGCCACCCCCGCCCGGTTCAGATCCACCTGAGAGATGGCACGGGCAGAGAGGGCACGGGCAGAGAGGGCACGGGCAGAGAGGGCACGGGCAGAGATACAGGTAAAAACGTGCAAGCCACACTGGCAGCGACAGCACATGGGCTGTGCTGCCATGCCTGGTACACCTCACCTCACCTCACCTCACCTCACCTCACCTCACCTCACCTCACCCCACCTCACCTCACCTCACCTCACCTCACCTCACCTCACCTCACCACCATCCCATCCCACGTGTCACCACCAGCAAGCAGCACCTCACCTGGCTGCCATCCCCCCCATGCAGCGCCTCACCTGGCTGCCATCCCCCCCGTGCAGCGCCTCACCTGGCTGCCATCCCCCCCGTGCAGCGACTTCCCGGCATCTTCCTCCAGGTGGGCGCGCGTGACTCCAAAGCGCCGCCGCCCGCCACCCACGTCGAGGGGCATGTCCACGTCCACATGGCCGCGCGCCGCCAGGGGCTCATCAAACTGCGATATCTGCACGGGGGGAGTGCAGTGCAGTGCAGTGCAGCAGCACAGCACGGGGGGGAGGGGGGGGGGGGGAGTCTAGTTTTGAGGCGCCTCGAGGGGCAAGTCAACGTCCACATGGCCACGCGCTGCCAGGGGCTCGTCAAACTGCGATATCTGCCGCCGTGCAGCACAGCACGGGCACGGGGGGAGAGGAGAGGGTGGCAGGGGGCGTGGTGGTGGGTGGCATTGAGAGAGTGGAGTGGAGGGGGGAGGATAATTGGCATGGGAATGAATGGGGAAGGAAATGTCTCGACATGCCTGCCTGCACTCTCAGCACTGTGCTCTCTGCTCAACCCTGCCCCACATTCTCCTGCGCCTCTCCTGTGCCACTACATGCCACGAGCTAGCCTTACAACGCAACGCACCTAGCATGGGGCTCTTGCGGAGGCAGAGGGGCACCAGCCCTTCACCTGGTAGCCCTTGGCCAGGTCGCACCTGGTAGCCCTTGGGCAGGTCGCACATGGTAGCCCTTGGGCAGGTCGCACCTGGTAGCCCTTGGGGAGGTGGCACCTGGTAGCCCTTGGGCAGGTCGCACCTGGTAGCCCTTGGGCAGGTCGCACATGGTAGCCCTTGGGCAGGTTGCACCTGGTAGCCCTTGGGCAGGTCGGGTCGGGGTAGAAGTACTGCTTGCGGTCTTTGAGGCGCCTCTTCCCCCAATGAACGCGGCCCCCTGGCTGGGGGTCCTTTTGAGGCGCCTCAAAAATCACCTGGTAGCCCTTGGGCAGGTCGGGGTAGAAGTACTGCTTCCGGTCGAACTTGCTCGTTGACTTTCGAGTCAAGTCAACTCAAAAGTCAACAGGTCTCCCTTCACCTGGTAGCCCTTGGGCAGGTCGGGGTAAAAGTACTGCTTGCGGTCGAACTTGCTCGTCAGCGCCACGCGGCACTGCAGCGCCAGCGCCAGGCGCACAGCCGCGTCCACCACGCGCGCGTTCAGCACGGGCAGCGCGCCGGGCTGCCCCATGCACGTGGGGCACACGTGCTCGTTGGGCGCCGCGCCGTACTGCGCCGCGCACCTGCAGAACGCCTGCCAGCGGGTCGCGGATCGAGGGGCGGAGGGCGGAGGGCGGGAGAATGGGCGGGGCGGGAGTGAGTGGCGAGTGTTGCCTCGTGGCGCGGGGGGGGGAAGAGGCGCATATGTGGTGCGCAAGGAGGCGCGGAGGGCGCGGAGTGAGATGACGGCGAGCGGCGGTGGCAGTAGGCGTGGAGCTGCGCGGCTGCTCGGCTGCGTGGAGCTGAGCGGCGGTGACAGTTCCCCACCCCGGTAGCGCGCCCCACTGATCCGCTGCGCATTGCCCGACGCGCCACGCACCTTGGTCGCCGTGTTCAGCTGCACGTGCGTTTCGATGCCGATCACCGCCTCAAACTCCCCCTCACCGCGCGTCGAGCCTTCCACCGTCTGCCCCTCTGCCACCGACACCGCGTGCGCGCGAGCTCTCCCCATATTGGGGCGCTGCGCCCTCGCCACGGCCCTCGACGAGCTGGACGGCGAGGCGGCCGTGCGCGCGTCGACGCGCGAAAGGTGGGCCGCGCGCGCCGACGACGGGCAGCATGGAGGGGCGACCGCGCCGCAACGGACGGCCGGAGAGGCTGCTACGGACGCGGAATGCCGCGCAGATAGCGACAAGAGAGACATTGCCGCACCTGTTACACACGTGGCAGACGGCATTCGAAATGCGACTTTCCGCGTGGATGGGGAAAGCACGGCGCAGGCCTCCAGCGTGCGGAGAATAGCGAGTGAAGGACGCGGAAAACAGCGGGCGAGCATGGAGGGCGGAGGGGAGGGGCGAGACTGGGAATGGCGATGAAGGGGGAGATCGAGTGGGTGGAGATGCTGCCCCGATGTAAAATCCCCGTTATAGGGACCCCAGGTTTTTCCCTTCCGTGGAAGTAGTTTAGAGCAAGAGGTAATTGATATTGTTCTTGGTTTCTACCGAAGTTGTTACTGATGAACCGCACACATCCGTACCTCGGATCACGGCAGGTGTAAGTACGGTCCAGACCTGAATAACCTGATTTTGATTGGTCAGGGCGGAAACAATATCTGCGCGCGAAAACTCTGTCACGCGAAGTACGCCAAATTGATTTGGCTTGGGATGAAGCAGCCTGACAGCACCTCACTCACGAAGCGCCAAACCTAGCGCCTAGCAGTGCCACCCTCGAAGCCAGTTTCCAAGCAGCCTAATAGCGTAGCAGCCTGACGAAGCAATTTTGGCAGTGCGAACCTAGCAGCAAATCTGATTTTTTTCTACGGCGCTTTCCGCCACTCCTAGTAGCGCATTTGGAAAACGTAGTTTTTAGCAATTCATCAGCTACTTGACACGTTTCTCAGAACGACTTGGTGAAGCGATGGATGGACTTTATCGTGAATGACGCTATTTTGTTATGAGGAGCCTCCTAGCGACTCGGTAGTGTTCTGGAATTCGGGGTTGCGTAATGATCTCGAAACCAGAGTAAAGTAGTGCTGACAATTCGAGATACGAGTTGCTTTTGAGTTCGAAATTAGTGATTCGATGGTGGATGACGCGATCGCGACGCTGTTCACGCTGACTCAGCATGACGAGCAGCCGGGCGTGCAGGGTCTCACATCCACCATGGTGTACGACGCATCGTACAGGACGTCGTATACAGGTAGACACAGCAGGCCGTATCATGTCATACAGCAAGTCGTACGCAGGTAGCCATGTCGCCACTCCTTTTACCCCATTTATTCATCCCGCGTCCGTTACCCTCCTTTTACCCCCTGTCGTCACACCCCCGCCTCACGCCACCCGCTCCTACCTCCCGCCGCCATACCCCCGCCGCACGCCACTCGCTCGTACCTCCCGTCGCCATACCCCCGCCGCACGCCACTCGCTCCTACCTCCCGTCGTCATACCCCCGGCTTCGCGCCACCCGCTCCTTCTGTCCGCCCTTGCTGTCCAGAGCACGCCGAGGTGGCTGCGTGCTAGCTGTCCCTTCCACCTGTCCCTTCCAGCTGTCCCTTCCAGCTGTCCCTTCCAGCTGTCCCTTCCACCTGTCCCTTCCACCTGTCCCTTCCAGCTGTCCCTTCCAGCTGTCCCTTCCAGCTGTCCCTTCCAACTGTCCCTTCCAGCTGTCCCTTCCAACTGTCCCTTCCCGCTGTCCCTTTCCCCTGCTTTTCACCCCAACCCTCCCCTCCCTCCAGAGTACGCCGAGGTGGCGGCCGGCCTGCTAGCTGTCCCTTCCAGCCGTCCCTTGCAGCTGTCCCTCATATTCACCCCCTTCTCCCCTCATATTCACCCCCTTCTCCCCTCTTTTTCACCCCCTTCTCCCATCTTTTTCACCCCCTTCTCCCCTCTTTTTCACCCTCTTCTCCCCTCTTTTTCACCCCCGTCGTCTTCATGCCATGGTCACCCAAACCCCCCCTCCCCCTCCCCCCTTCCTCCAGAGTACGCGGAGGTGGCGGCCTTCCATCTGTCCCTGGAGGACGACACTGCCGCCATCAACCAGCTGGTGAGGGGGATAGATGAGAAGGGGAGCGAGAGAGAGCAGGGAGGGGATGGAGGGGAGGGTTAGGGGGTGGGCGGCCTTCCAGCTGTCTCTGGAGGACGACACTGCCGCCATCAACCAGCTGGTGAGGGGGTGGACGGGAGGGGCAGGGGAGGGGACCCACCGAGTGTGGGAGTGAGGGAGAGTGGGCGTGGATAGAGAGCAGGGAGCCGAGGTGGCAGCGTTCCAGCTGTACAGACGTCTCAACCAGCTGGTGAGGGGCGGGGAGGGAAGGTAGTGAGAGAGGTGGGAAGGGAGAGAGGGAGAGGGAGGGGAGAGAGGGAGAGGGAGGGAAGAGGAGGAGAGATGGGAGAGAGGGAGAGGGGAGAGAGGGAGAGGGAGGGGAGAGCGAGCAGGGAGGGGACCCACCAAGTGTGGGAGAGAGAGGAAGTAGGTAGAAAGCAGGGAGGGGAGGTGGCGGCCTTTCAGCTGCCCTTGCAGGCAACACTGCCACCATCAACCAACTGGTGTGGTGAAGGGGCGGGACGAGAGGCAGGCGAGGGATGGAGGGGAGATAAGGAGAGGAGAAGGGGGAGGGAGAGGAAGCAGGGGAGAGGGAGGGGGGGTTGGAGAGGAAGGAAAAGTATTCTGACTGATGGAGAGATGTAAACATGTAAGCCTCCAGGTGACGGGTGAATGGGCCAACGAGACGGACAGGGGGCTTGAGAGGAGAGTCGTAGGGGATGGGAGTAGGCAGATCGGCAAACCTGCATAGTCGTTTGGCAACACTGGCGCGGATGCATGTCAGCAAGCACTGGGGTGACTTTTGAGTCGACTCAAAAGTCACCTCGTTACAATGGCACAGGAGGATGCATGTCAGCAAGCACTGACATGAATTTGTTTCAAAAGTCACTGATATTGTTTTTTATTCAAACGGTAAACTCCATCCGCTTACTTCTGGTCCTCTGACTGCAATCCCCCTCCGTTTTGTCTCTCCTCCTCTTCTTTCTCACTCTTCAATCCTCCGTCTTCCATCCCTCTACCCTTCGCTAACACCCATCATCCCATCCCGTGCATATGCCATGGCTGCAGGACGCCCTTTTGGCAGATGGCAAGGACGTGCTCGCATCGCTATGCACCCTCTGAGTCGACTCAGTCATTACTCATCTCACCCCCTTGCGTGCCGCATGTGCGCATGGCATGGCATGGCATGGCATGGCATGGCATGGCATGGCATGGCATGGCATGGCATGGCATGGCATGGCTGCAGGACGCCCTGTTGGCAGATGGCAAGGACGCTCTCGCATCGCTCTACACCTACCGCAGCGTTTCCAAGTCCTTTCCTGAGGTAGTACACGTGGCAATTGATTTGAGGCAGTGACCCAGCACCCAGCTGCCAGCAGGACGCAAGTCTAGCATTGCTCGACGCTGTGTGTGCCCGCCACAGCGCTGGTAAGGCCTTTGATGAGGCAGGGCGCCTCTCAGGTCTGCAGAGGGAGGCAGCTGCAGAGGGAGGCACCTGCAGAGGGAGGTAGCAGAGCAGAGGAATCTTCCTCTTTCACTTGAAGGAATCTTACCGTCTGTTGGAGTACTACAAACACCCTTCATTGCTAATCTTGAACCCTCTCCCCGTCGCTCATCTCTCCCTTAATATTTTTCTGCTACCCACTGCCTCCCTGCAGTCAGTGCAAGCCTTGGACGAGAATGCAGAGCCAGGTCTGCTGCAGAAGGCGTTTGCGCTTGTAGATGTGGAGATGAATTTTGAGTCGACTCAGATGTCACCTTGCTCTTTCTCTCTTTCCTGTCTTTCTGCCACCCGCTGCCTCCCTATAGTCGGTGCAAGCTTTGGACGAGAATGCAGAGCCGGGACTGCTGCAGGAGGCGTTTGCGATCGTAGATGTGGAGATCCAACGGCTGAGAGACATCCATCAGTGGCAGATGCGAGCACGGTCGTTGATTGCTGCGGACCTGCAGCGATTCTCAGGGGAGATGACCGGGCCCACCCTCACACACCTGTGGTGAGTCATGCTGGCAGGTCGTGCAGCAATGCATGTCACCCAGTGAGTCACTCTTGAGGCGCCTAAAAAAACGGTTTTCAGGGGAGATGACCGGGCCCACCCTCACACACCTGTGGTGAGCCATGCTGGCAGGTCATGCAGCAATGCAGGTTTGCTTATCTGCTTTTCTCGCACATTCTTCTTCAGCAAACCTGTGGTGAGTCATGCTGGCAGCACATTCGTCTTCAGCAGCTGTTTTATGTGCGCTGGAAGTTGTGGTGGGCTTCTGGAAGCTCTCGTTGTTGTCTGTCATGTCGTGTGCATAGGCTGTTTATTTATTCCGCTGTGCACTGCACTGCACTGCACCGCACTGCACCCAATCCCACAGGAGCCTGCGGAGGGTGCTGGGCACGTGTCTGCTCCTGGATCTGCTGAAGCGCACCAAGGCAGCGCCGCTCTCTGACCTTTTAAATGACTCATAAGCCACTGTGCTTGACACACACTCCACCACACTCCACTGCACTCCACCGCATTCCGCCCCCCCACAGGAGCTTGCTGAGGGTGCTGGACACGTGTCTTCTGCTGGATCTGCTGAAGCACACCAAGGCAGCTCCGCTCCCTGACTTGCACTGGTTCAGGCGGTGAGAAGCCATGCCTTTCCTGCCTGCAGTTATTGCCTGCCTTGCCAACCTTCCTGCCTCCCTTGCTTTCTTTCTCCCTTTCTTGCCTTTTCTTCCTCACTTTCGCTCCTCCCTTGCTCCCTCCCCTCTTTCCCGCATCCGCTTTCACACTTCTCCCTTTCTTGCCTTTTCTTCCTCACTTTTGCTCCTCCCTTGCTCCCTCCCCTCTTTCCCGCATCCGCTTTCACACTACTCCCTTTCTTGCCTCTTCCCACTCGGCACTTTTTTTACTCCCTGACACCAGAGCGGTGCTGAGTGGTCGAGTCACTGCAGAAAGGGGTTCTGACACTGACAGCGACCTGGAGGTAGGCCCCTAGCCAGCGGCCATAAAGGTTTGTCGTATCTTACTAGTGTGCATTTCACATTTCAAGGAGACAGGCTGCTACTGAAAGTGCAGTGTTTTCCAAATTATCGTCTATCACGTCCTTCTCCCCCCACCTTCTCTTCCACTGACCTGTCATTCAATACCCACATGCCGGCCTGTCAATCCCCACCAACACTCCTTCCTGTCCCCGACATTTCTGCCCCTGCCAACACCAGGATTTTTGGAGCAAGCGCTGGGCCGTCCTTTCCAGCCTGCAGGCCGGCATCCCAGGCAACGAAACGTACGTGCTGTGCAGTGCGGTGCAGTGTGGTCATGCCCGGTCCAGTCCAACCAGGCCAGGCTGGGTTGATCCAGTCCGGTCCGGTCCCGACCCAACCAGTCCAGTTCAGTCCAGGCCTGGCCTGGGTCGGTCCGGTTCTGTCCGGTCCAGTCCTGTCCGGTCTGGTCCCGTCCAGTCCGGTGTAGTGCAGACTATAGGAATCAGTGTGTGAAGCCCGTGGCCACCACCATGAGCTGCACAAAAAACTCCTTGTCGGAGAGTGAAGCTCGACCGCCACCTCAGGCTCTGTGTAGAGCTTCACTCTCCGCCGGTTCTGTCCGGTCCAGTCCTGTCCGGCCGCACTCTGCTGTTTGTAGACCGTCTGATGCTGCTGCTACCGTTCCTGACCCTCCTCCCCCTTTTTCCAGTGTGGAGGAGTTCTTTGTGCAGCTGATGGTGGTGGCCACGGGCACCATAGAGAGCGGCCGCATGCTGCTGTGCTGTTCCTTTTGCTCTCCCTTACCCAATCTCTCTTTTGTTCTGCCTGCTCCCACTTCCCCCCATTCCAGTGTGGAGGAGTTCTTTGTGCAGCTGATGGTGGTGGCCACGGGCACCATAGAGAGCGGCCGCACATTGCTGTTCGCAGATCGTCTCATGCTGCTGCGTGTGCTGCCGGTGCTCATATCGCTCGCTGCCCGCACCGAGGCCGAGGCAGACACGCTGTTCCGCCGGAGAGTGAAGCTCGACCGCCTTCTCAGACTCTTCAAGGTGGGTGGGTGCATGTGAGTGCGTGCGTGCGTGCGTGCGTGCGTGCGTGCGTGCGTGTCTGCTTCTTTGTTTTGGAGCGTCTCAATACTCGCTGCCATCTCAACTTATATTCCTGCCATTCCGTACACACCAACTCATTCTCTTTCTGCCATGCCTTGGCATCTCCACTTCCTTCGCTCCTGCTCTCTTCATTTTCCTCTCCTCGTATCTCCTCTTTCTCTCCCCACCACACATCTCTCCAGCGTGAACCCCTAGTGGCAGGCTACAAGGAAGTACCCTTCGCCCTCGCGTCTCTGCTTGCTTACATGCCATGCTATGCAATGCTTTGATCACGCATCCCTCTCTCTCTTTCCACCACACTTCTCTCCAGCGTGAACCCCTAGTGGCAGGCTACAAGGAGGGAGGTACCCTTCACCCTCACGTCTCTGCTTGCTTACATGCCATGCTATGCAGTGCTTTAATCACGCATCACTCTCTTTCGCTTTCCACCACACATCTCTCCAGCGCGAGCCCCTAGTGGCAGGCTACAAGGAGGTACTATTCGCCCTCGCGTCTCTGCTTGCCTACATGCCATGCAATGCCATGCTCCCATCACGAAGCCCTCTTTCACCACCCATCCCTCCCTTTCCGCCCATCTCACACCTCTCCAGCGAGAGCCCCTAGTGGCAGGCTACAAGGAGGTACCCTTCGCCCTCGCGTCTCTCCTGCCAGACCTCTCGCCCTTCTTCCGCAAGCTGTGTGTTGAGAAGGGCGTGCTGCTGCCCGTGCCAAGCAACATGGACGCAAAGGAAGGTGGGTGAGGGAATTATTGGAGGAAAGAAGTGGTGATGAGGTGTAGAGGGGCTGTTTTATCTCAACCTCCCCGCCTCTCTCAATTCTTCTGCAAGCTGTGTGTGTAGAAGGGCGTGCTGCTGCCCGTAGTCAGTTTGCTTGATCTTAGTAGGCTTGCAGCGGTTCGAAACCATCCTTTCTCAACGGAGAAGGGCGTGCTGCTGCCCGTGCCCAGCAACATGGACGCCAAGGAATGTGGGTGGTGAGGGATGCTGAGAGGAAAGGGGTGGCGATGAGGTATAGAGGGGCTGTTGTCACTGCTATCTCAACCTCTCCCCTTCTCGCCCTTCTTAAGCTGTGTGTTAAGAATCGGGTGCTGCTGCAGATGTCAGCAATCGCTCTCAGGCTCATGGAGAACGTTCACTCCCTCCTTTGCTACCTTTGAGGCGCCTAAAAAATGAATGTGTGGCCCGACCTGCTGCAGCAGATGCCAACCATCGCTCTTGAGAATTCTCAAAAGTGGCTCATGGAGAGCGCTCACTCCCTCCTTTGCTGCCTTTCTCCAAATTAACCCCTCTTGCTCTTACCTCCCTCCCACCCCTTCTCTCCCCTCCCGCTCTCAGTGTCTCGAGTGCACAACCTCACAAACTAGCCATTGCCAAGGCACATGAAAACAAATCTGCTCTCCCTCCCTTCATCCTCTACTCTCCCTTCTCTCTCGCCTCTATCCTCTATCCTCTTTTCTCGCTCCCCTCCTCCCTCCCTGCCCTCAGTGTCACGAGTGTACGATCTGCTGCCCCAGATGCCAGCCATTGCCAAGGCTCATGAGGAGCTCTGCCTGCGCTTTACTGCCGCCATGAACAAGGTACGGTAGGGTGCAGTGCGGTTAAGTGTTGGTAAAGTACATCAAGGTACTCTACGTATATTGTTGTATAAGTGCCTACCAGCCATTGCCAAGGCACACGAGGAGATATGCCTGTGCTTCACTGCCGCCATGAACAAGGTACTGTGGGTTGCAGTGCGGTGAATTGTGGTACTATCGCCGGCCATAGGCAAGGCACACGAGGAGCTGTGCCTGCTATTCACCGATGGCACGAATAAGGTGCATGCGCTAGGATGTTCTATGGTGAAGTGTGGTGCAGCATGGTGTAGTGTAGTGTGGCTAGGTGTAGTGTGGTTTAGACGCCCCCCCCCTGCCAGGCATATACAAGTAGAGTAGCTCTGCCTGCTGATATATAGCATGGTGTGATCGCCAGCTTGTTGCTGTAAGCATGGTACAGTAGGTTGGGTGAGAGCATGGTACCATGCTATGCTGCTGCGTAAGAGGCACAGGGTGGATGTGCACCGCGTGCTGCTGGAGGGGCTGCTGCTGCTGTGCTCGTTGTATCCCCATCCATCCCTTTCCAATTCCCCTCACACCCAGCTGACGGTCATGAAGCACGCGCGGGTGAAGTCTCGCTCTCCCCAGGCGAAGGAGGTGCGGGTGGAGGTGTACCGAGTGCTGCTGGAGGGGCTGCTGCTGCTCTCACCGCCTCACCTCACCCCTGTCCCTGTTAACCCCCACCCACCAACACCTCCCCACACCCAGCTGACAGTGATGAAGCATGCGCGGGTAAAGTCCCGATCGCCACAAGCGAAGGAGGTGCGGGTGGAGTGCTGCTGGAGGGGAACTACCTTACAGCGCTCAATGTGCGTTCTGTATAACCCCCATCCACCCCTTCCCGATTCCCCTGATCCCAGCTGACGGTTATGAAGCACGCGCGCGTTAAGAGCCGCTCCCCTCAGGCGAAGGAGGTGCGGGTGGAGGTGTACCGCGTGCTGCTGGAGGGGCTGCTGCTGCTCTCCCGCTGGTCTGGCCGCCTGCTGCAGCACTTCGCCTGGAAGACCCACCTCGCTGCCTCCCACGCTGCTGCTTCTCCTCCTCCTCCTGCCACCACTACCTCTCCTGCTGCTGCTGCTGCTGCTGCTGCTGCCGCTGCTGGTGCTTCTGGTGTTTCTGGTGCCTCCAACGCTGCTGGTGTGGCTGGTGGTTCTGCTGCTGCTGCTGCTGCTGCTGCTGTAAACGCCGATGCAGCAGCAAGGGAAAGCGGGAGCACAGCAGCGGATGGCGAGCCGAGGAGGCTTCACCAGCTCTTTGCTGAGGCCGCTGGGTGCCCCCCTTCCCCTTCCCCATCCCCATCCCCATCCCCGTCTTCCCGCCCGCCTGTAGCTGCTGGTACTGCGGGTGCTGGTGCTGCGGGTGTTGGGGGTGTGGGCACTGGCGGAGGCAAAGGGAAGCAGAGCCTGAGTGCATACGAGCAGGTGAGGCTAGGTGGTCTGGGAGGCGCTTGGGCAGATGCAAAGGGAAGCAGACGCTGAGTGCAAACGAGCAGGAGTGAGTGAGGGTACTCATCTTTCCCTCCTATGTCTGCACACACCTTTCTCTTTCCACCTTTATCCTGATACTCACAACATGGCTTCTGAGTTGGCGCATAGGGCCGCCCTGTTCGTTCAGTCGTTTCCTGTGGGCCCACCCACCCCATACTCTCTCTTCACTCCCATACTCTCTCTTCACTCCCATACTCTCTCTTCACTCCCCCTGTCTCTATTCAGATGGTTCAGCACGGTTTCTCACAGGCAGAGCTGCAAGCTGTGCTACAGGTGTGTATGGGTGCCGGATCCCTGGCAGTTTTTTTTTTAATGTTTAGGTGGTTTATGTTGTGGGTGTGGATGTGTGTATGTGTTTGTCAGTGTGTGTGCTGTGTTGTGTGTGGGTGTGTGATGTTTTTTGTTTGTTTGAATTCCTTTTTTTTTTTATTGACTTCCTCATGTCTCCTCCTTTCTCATAGATGCTTACCCGTCCTCCCTTGCTCAATGATGCTCTTTCTTCTTCAACATTCCCCTCCTCAGCCGCTCCTCAGCCGTGCCGTGTTTTACGCCCTTTCCTCTGTTATTCCAAAAGGCAGGCGATCAATTGTTGATTCTCTCTCCTCTGTGCCATCCCCCCGTTCCCAGCCAATATTATCTCACCCCTTTCCTCAAGAGTCTCGCATCTCCTGCACCCCTCGCGCCCCACGGTGTTTTTGAGAATTCTCAAAAACACCCTGAGAATTCTCAAAACACCCTAAACCCCTTTCCTCAAGAGTCTCTCATCTCCTGCACCCCTCCCGCCCCACTCAGCTGATCATCTCCAAAGCCTCGTTTCCTCCATCTCTCCTTTCTCCTTTCCAGCTGATCACATACATGAAGGGTGTAGCGGCCATGACGACAGCGGTGGAGGGGGACACCGCATGGGTGCTGCGCTACGTGTAGAAAGTGTAGCTTTGAGTTGAGACGTCTCAAAACTACACTTTCTACACGTGACATTGCACAGGTGCTGCGCTACAAGAGATTACGCGATGTCCCCATCCCATCCAACGCTGGGACTTTCCGTTATTCTTCCATCTCCTCCACCCCTTCCCTCCCAGCTGATCTTCTCTCATCTCCCCCATCTCCATCCCCCCACCCCCCTCCCCAGTTGATCGCGTACATCAAGGGCGTGGCAGCCATGATGACGGCAGTGGAGGGCGACATCGCATGGGTGCTAAGGGAAGGCCATGCCCCTCATCTCCTATACCCCCCTGCCCCCTCCCCCCATGCAGCTGATCGCGTACGTCAAGGGCGTGGCAGCCATGATGACGGCAGTGGAGGGCGACATCGCATGGGTGCTAAGGGAAGGCCATGCCCCTCATCTCCTATACCCCCCTGCCCCCTCCCCCCATGCAGCTGATCGCGTACATCAAGGGCGTGGCAGCCATGATGACGGCAGTGGAGGGCGACATCGCATGGGTGCTAAGGGAAGGCCATGCCCCTCATCTCCTATACCCCCCTGCCCCCTCCCCCCATGCAGCTGATCGCGTACATAAAGGGTGTGGCAGCCATGATGACGGCGGTGGAGGGCGGCATTGCATGGGTGCTAAGGAAAGGCCATGCCCCTTATCTCCTATACCCCCCCGCCCCCTTCCCCAATGCAGCTGATCGCATACATCAAGGGCGTGGCGGCGATGATGACAGTGGTGGAGGGCGGCATTGCATGGGTGAGGTGACTTTTGAGCGAATCAAAAGTCACCTCATTGCATGGGTGCTGTGGGAGGCCCTCCACACCCCTGTGAGGGGACTCTAATGTTCCTCGTCTCCTCCACTCCCTCCCTTCAGCTGATAGCATACATAAAGGGCGTAGCAGCCATGATGACAGCAGTGGAGGGCGACATTGCATGGGTGCTAAGGGAAGCCATCCATGCAGACGTGCAGGAGTTTGCACGCGTGTATGTCGCCTCGCTGCTCAAGCGCGTGTCGTCCTCTAATATGGACTCTCCTTATGCCAGGTAGGTGGTTGTTGTATGGCTGTATGCACCACCAGAGGCCATCTGTGCAGACGTGCAGGAGTTTGCACACGTCTACGTAGCCTCGCTGCTCAAGGGAGTATCATCTTCCAATATGGACTCACCTTACGCCAGGTATGTTAGGTAGTCACAGTATGGTCGTGTGCACCACGAGAGGCCCCATGGAGTTTGCACGCGTCTATGTGGCCTCGCTGCTCAAACAGGTCTCCTCCTCCAACATGGTCTCTCCTTACGCCAGGTAGCATGGTCGCTCACACGGTGTTTTCAGCCGTAGCCTGTGTTATCTTGTGTTTCTTTCTCAAATGCAGCCAGTCAGTGCTCCATGTTGTGCGCCTCCTCCTCCTCCTTGCTCCTCTGCTGCAGGACACTATTGCGGATACGAGCAGTGGCAGCGGACTGGGCGGGGATACCCGAGGAGGAGGCGCTGGAGGTGGTGGTGAAGAGCCGAAAAGGCCACCCCGTGAATGAGGACGACCTTAAGAGGCTCGCCCTGCCACGCCCCACCCCCCCTTCCCTCGCCCAGGTGAGTCACACGCACTGGCCCGCAGCTCAGTCTTTCAGTGGCAGGCTAGTCAGTCAGTCTGATCAGTCAGTGAATCGATGGCCAACTTTTGGTACTGGTCAGTCAGTCAGTGGCTCGCATGCTGGCAGGTGGGGTTGGTAGTGAAGAGGTTGGTAGTGAAGAGGTTGGTAGTGAAGAGGTTGGTAGTGAAGAGGTTGGTAGTGAAGAGGTTGGTAGTGAAGAGGTTGGTAGTGAAGAGCCGCAAGGGCACCCCGTGAATGAAGGCGACCTTCAGAGGCTCCGTTGAACGCTTGATTTGAACCATCACACAGCGACAGCGCCTGTTTTTTGAGAATTCTCTGAGAATGTTTTTTGAGAATTCTCAAAAGACAACCTTCAGAGGCTCCGTTGAACGCTTGAACCATCACACAGCGACAGCGTCTGTGTTCCTTGCTACTCTCCGCCTTTCTTCTCTCCCACAGTCCCACTGTCTGCAGCATCTGGTGCAGGCGCTGGTGATCGGGGCAAGCGCCAAAATGAAATGTGTGGTCCGGGTTCTAACAGCTGGCACCATCATCACAGCCACAGCCAATCCCTTGTGCCGCTGCCCTTCCCCGTGCAGATCCACTGTCTACAGCACCTGGTGCAGGCGCTGGTGATCGGGGCAAGCGCGGGAGTGAAAATGTAGAACCATCATCACACCGTATCCCTTGTGCTTCCCTTGCCTCTCCTCTCCTTCGCTCCCTTCCCCGTGCAGATCCACTGTCTACAGCATCTGGTGCAGGCGCTGGTGATCGGGGCAAGTGCTGGAGTGAAAGGATGGCACGGCACCATCATCACAGCCAATTCTTGTGCTTCCCTTGCCACTTCTCTCCTTCCCTCCCGCCCCCCTTCAGATTCACTGCCTGCAGCACCTGGTGCAGGCGCTGGTGATCGGGGCAAGCGCCGGAGTGAAAGGAGGATTCTTCGGGCCGGAGAAGAGCAAGCAGGGGGGCAAGGAGGAAGGGGGGAAGAGTCGGAGCAAAGGAAGGGACAGAGAGGTGTCAGCGAGTGAGATCAAGGAGTTGGATAACTTCCTGCAGCGCCTGCTCTTCTTCCCGCACCTCCTCGACTACCCTAGTACGTTAGCTTGCAGCGGGTGACATTCACGCGTTTTGAGATGTTTCAACAGTGACGGGAGGTGTCGTTGAGTGAGATCACGGAACAGGATAACTTCCTGCAGAGCGCCCGCTCACTTTGTTACTCCAAAAGCGGCAGCAGGTGGCATGCATTCCTTCATGCTGCTGTGGAAATCCTTTCAGATGCATGCCACATAAGTTCTCGCTCCTCTCTGCCCCTGCTCCTTATGTTCTGGATTCGTCCCCCTTACAAGATGCCTTGCTACAGGTGACAGACCTCTCCTTCCTGTGGCTGCGGGAGTCGTTTCTAGACCCAGCAGCAACGGCGAAAGTCCCTCTCTCAGCCAGCCTCCCCTGGGTGCTCACTCTCTCCGCTCTCCAGCACACCACCAATAGCAGCAGCAGCAGCAGCGGCGACGGCAGCAGCGGTGGCAGTGGCAGCAGCAGTGTGACTGCTGATCCTGCTACGGGAGGGTCAAGCTCTGCAGATGGTGGCAGTGCTGCTGGGGCTCGGGATGCTGCTGCTACCACTGCTACCGCTGCTCCTGCTACTGCTGCTACCACTGCTGCTGGCGGTGCTTCTGGTGGAGTGACGGGGACTCCTTGGGCGCCATCGCTACCAGATGCAGTGCTGCTGCCATTCACCATCTATGATGATGCAGCTGATGCGGCCCTTCGGTCGCTCAAGAGGCAGTTCCTCTTTGACGAGGTGGAGGCGGAGGTGAGATTGGGAGGGAAAGGGTGACGAGGGCTGGGGGTGCTGTTGGTGGTGCTGCCGGTGGTGTGACAGGGCACCCATTGGCGCCATCGCTACCAGATGCAGTGCTGCTGCCGTTCTCCTTTTATGATGATGTAGTTCATGTGGCTCTTCGGTCCCTCAAGAGGCAGTTCCTCTTTGACGAGGTGGAGGCGGAGGTGAGATTGGGAGGGAAAGGGTGACGAGGGCTGGGGGTGCTGTTGGTGGTGCTGCCGGTGGTGTGACAGGGCACCCTTGGGCATCGCTACCAGATGCAGTGCTGCTGCCGTTCTCCTTTTATGATGATGTAGTTCATGTGGCTCTTCGGTCCCTCAAGAGGCAGTTCCTCTTTGACGAGGTGGAGGCGGAGGTGAGATTGGGAGGGAAAGGGTGACGAGGGCTGGGGGTGCTGTTGGTGGTGCTGCCAGTGGTGTGACAGGGCACCCTTGGGCATCGCTACCAGATGCAGTGCTGCTGCCGTTCTCCTTTTATGATGATGTAGTTCATGTGGCTCTTCGGTCCCTCAAGAGGCAGTTCCTCTTTGACGAGGTGGAGGCGGAGGTGAGAACGAGAGGGAAGGGGCAGTGGCAGGGCAGTTCAGGTAAGTATATGTATGTGTAGACATGTGCATACAGTACAGTACTGATGCGGCTCTTCGGTCGCTCAAGAGGCAGTTCCTCTTTTATGAGGTGGAGGCGGAGGTGAGAACAAGAGGGAAGGGGCAGTTCAGATGAGTATTCAAATTTATAGGCACACGAATACAGTACAGTACAAATGTGGCTCTTTCCTGCGCATCCCGTGCTCTCTTCTCCTCACCCGCATGTTGGAGCTTCTACCACCAGCCATACCATCCCACATGCCCCATCCCATCCCACATGACACGTGCTGTAACACCCATCCACCCCACCAGGTGGAATTGGCGTTCGCCAGCTGCTGGAGAAGCTGTCTCTCGTCATCTTCACGCACTCCAGAACCACCACCCACCCCATCCCACTTCGCATACACCACGCGCCCATCCCCCATGATCCACCCATCCCATCCCCCATGCCCCAACCACCCATCCACCCCGCCAGGTGGGAGTGGCATTCGACCAGCTGCTGGAGAAGCTGTCTCTCGCCATCTTCACTCACTTCAAGCAGTTTGCCGCCAGGTGAGTCAGTCAGGGGCTGCCAGGTGACTTAGGGGCTGAAGGGAGTGGGCACGGCCACGGTTGAAACCAAGATTTGAGACACTTTCGCTCACCAAGTGAGTCAAGGCCAGCAAGGCTGAGGAGATGTTCTTCAATATAGCCTCAGCCTTGGTGCCACCATTATGTTTTCCTCTTCCCCACCGTCCACGTTTCCCCACTTCCCCCTGGGGTGTAAGAGGGTCAGTCGCATAACCCGCTTGCTCCTGTCCTTCCTTGCTTCCCACACCCACCCATTCTTCTGCCCAACGAATGTCGTTTCTTGTTTCTCCGCAGCAAGATGCTGCACAAGACCTTCGTGCCGGCAGCAGCAGCAGCCCTGGGCGTGGAAAAGTCAGTCAGTCGCTTACACACCCGCTTGCGTGTAGTGAGTCGAGTTTTGAGTCGACTCGAAACTCGACTCACTACACGCTGGGCGTGGAAGGGTCAGTCAGTCGCTTACACACCCGCTTGCTGCTGCCATTCCTTGCTTCACACCCCCCCATCCCCTACCCAACGGTGCTGTCCCATTCCCCCGCACACAGCAAGCTGCTGGACAAGTCGTTTGTGGCGGCAGCGGCAGCCCTGGGCGTGGGAGGGTCAGTCAGTCACACACCCGCTTGCTGCTGCCCTTCCTTGCTCCTCTCTCCATTCCCCATCATGCAGCAAGCTGCTGGACAAGTCGTTTGTGGCGGCAGCGGCAGCCCTGGGCGTGGGAGGGAGGTACAGCGTCACTCCTTGCAGCTACAGCGGACTCTTACGCCAGACGCACCTGCAGGTGGGTGGGGTGTGCAGGTGGGCGGGCCGTGTAGGTGGGCGGGGTGGGGCGTGTAGGTGGGTGGGGTGGCTTTGGGGTCGACTCAAGGGTTAACCTCGAACTGGGTCAGCCAGTGTCGTGTCGCCCCCTTGCAACCAACCAACCTGCCCAGTCTATCTTGAAGCGCAGCCCGGCATGAGCCTGTCTCGGCCAGGTTTGATGTGTGCCCGCGGCCAGTGTAGTGTCAGATGGACACGTTGGATGCCAGAATTCTGAACATGTTGTGTCACTCATCTCTCTGCACTTCATCTGCTGCTGTCCTAACTCGCCCCACCCATCCCATCCTCCCGTTGCTGCACAGCTATTGGGTCGCACTGTGGACATGCGGGACCTGCTGACTCAGCGGCTGAACAAGCTGACGAGGCACAACCTGGATCATATCCTTGCCCGCATGGAGGGGGCTGACATCTGCCACATCATGGTGTGTGACGTGGCTCATGTGTGTGTGTGTGTGGTTGTTTTGATGTCGAGAGGTGTCGAATTTCACATGGCAACTTGTGTGTCGTGTGTGTGAGATTTGAGCCGGCCCAATATACACGTCAATTCTGGGGTTGTATGTGTATATGCGGTGTGTGTAACGGCGTCGGTGGGACTGCGAATCGTGTGCTTGTGCGTTTGATCATGTATCGTTTGACTGCAACATCTGATTCACTGACCGCATTCTCCCGTTTGAGAATTCTCCTAAGTGAGCAGCACTTCTGCCCAGTAGGATCCTATGCGGATAGATCAGATCTGAGCCGTTTTTCAAATCAAATCAAGGTGCAGGTAGGGAACGGAACACCTCAGGAGCTCGTATGTTAGGGATTGCCTCACAAGCTTTCCTACTCGCTTTGCACTCTTTCTGCTTACACCCCTGCCTGCAGGAGACGCATCACCTGGTGGACGTCCTACGTGGCGCGCACCGATTGGTCGCAGAGCACTGCCCTGCAATCGACTCCTTTGAAGCCATTTTCACCGAGGCCACCCACGCCACCTCCCTCTCCTCTCTCTCCTCCCGCACCGCCGCTTATGTAAGTGCCATTCCAATCCAATATCACCACCCAAGCCAATATCACCGAGGCCACCCACACCACCTCCCTCTCCTCTCTCTCCTCCCGCACCGCCTCCTATGTAAGTGGCCTATACAACGGCCTTTCTAAGCATTCCCAACGCGTTTCCAGCACTGCCCTTCCAGGGTCGTGCCCCCTCTCATCAACTCCTTTGAGGACATCTCGCCCTCACCCACCCACGCTACGTCCCTCTCCTCGCTCTCCTCCCGCACTGCCGCTTATGTAAGTGGCAGGCATTGGCATCATGACACGGCCCTTTTCAGCACTCCCATAGCACGTCCACCACCACTGCTAGCCGTGTCCACTCTCATCCACTCCTTTGAACCCATCTCCACCGGCCAAGGCCACCCACGCCACCTCCCTCTCTCCTCCCTCTCCTCCCGAATGGGGTTTGAGTGCGCTGTTTCTAGCCCCCCATCGCCTTTCCGGCACTGCTCTTCCATAGCCTAGCTCCCTCTTATAACCACGTGTATGAAGATTTGTTTTGAGACGTCTCAAAACGAATCTTCCATAGCCTACCTCCCTCTTATTAACTCGTTGAAGTTGTTTTCACTGAGGCCGCCCACGCCCACGCCACCTCCCTCTCTTCCATTCCATCTCCTCCCGCGCTGCCCACTATGTTTGAGGGCTTTGATTTTACACTTTCTTGCACTGCCGTTCCGTAGCCTAGTGGCTAGTCCCCTACAATTCACCCCTGCCCTCATCTTTAGCTCCTTTCCCTTCTCTCCCTCCTGTTTCCCGGCTTTCACATGTTTCCCATCTTTCGCGCGTCATTTTGTTTGCGAAATCCATTGACCTGTAAGGTCTTCTTCACCCCTCTCAACCGAATCACCCCTCATTCTCTCACGCTCGGTTCCCAGGTGTGCAGAGAGGTGGAGCAGGATGTGCTGCCCAACCCCTCTGGAACGCCACCACCCGCCGCTTCGTGCGAGTGGCCTACCCGAAGCAGCAGCGCCCCATGCGAAGACCTGTGGCTCACCTGGTGGTTACACACGCTTATTCTCCTCTCCCTCTCGGTTCCCAGGTGTGCAGAGAGGTGGAGCAGGATGTGCTTCCCAACTTCCTCTGGAACGCCACCACCCGCCGCTTTGTGCGGGTCGCCTCCCCGCTGCACCTGCAGCAGCGCCCCGTGCAAAGACCTGCAGTTCACCTGCCTTCTCCAGAGGTGTATGAAGCCTTCATGTTTGGAAACAAGGTGCGGTGAGAATTATGTGCTTCTCTTCTCCAGTGGCGGTGCTGTGCATGCTGCATGGCACATGCCTGCATCACACGTGCCACATGCTGCATCGCAGCTCCTGGCATGCCATTGTGTCATTGAATTGCGTGCTTGGAGGTCGTTCCAGAACACATTGAATGCGGTTAAAATCGATGCCAATGAGTGTCGGTCGTCCCTATGCCTTCTTATGCCAATGCATGCTATGTTTCGCCCGCACCACGACTCGATTGATGCAGACTCTCACACCTTCCTGCTGCACTCACAATCCCTAAGCTGGGCACACGTGTGGATGCTCTAGTGCCTCTGAGTTGACTCACGAATGAACACTAGTTGTTCCTGCATGTCCCCCCTCCCCCTTCCACACCAGGATCTCAACGAGGCCTACTCGCACATTTGCCTGTTGAACTCGCAGTTCCTGGGGCAGCCGCACATGGATGCTGTGGTGGCGCTGCTGGGCGCGCACTCCCATTGTCTGTAAACGACCCCCTGGCCCCCCCACCCCACCCACACCAGGATCTCAACGAGGCCTACTCGCACATTTGCCTGTTGAACTCGCAGTTCCTGGGGCAGCCGCACATGGATGCTGTGGTGGCGCTGCTGGGCGCGCACTCCCATTGTCTGTAAACGACCCCCTGGCCCCCCCACCCCACCCACACCAGGATCTCAACGAGGCCTACTCGCACATTTGCCTGTTGAACTCGCAGTTCCTGGGGCAGCCGCACATGGATGCTGTGGTGGCGCTGCTGGGCGCGCACTCCCATTGTCTGTAAACGACCCCCTGGCCCCCCCACCCCACCCACACCAGGATCTCAACGAGGCCTACTCGCACATTTGCCTGTTGAACTCGCAGTTCCTGGGGCAGCCGCACATGGATGCTGTGGTGGCGCTGCTGGGCGCGCACTCCCATTGTCTGTAAACGACCCCCTGGCCCCCCCACCCCACCCACACCAGGATCTCAACGAGGCCTACTCGCACATTTGCCTGTTGAACTCGCAGTTCCTGGGGCAGCCGCACATGGATGCTGTGGTGGCGCTGCTGGGCGCGCACTCCCATTGTCTGTAAACGACCCCCTGGCCCCCCCACCCCACCCACACCAGGATCTCAACGAGGCCTACTCGCACATTTGCCTGTTGAACTCGCAGTTCCTGGGGCAGCCGCACATGGATGCTGTGGTGGCGCTGCTGGGCGCGCACTCCCATTGTCTGTAAACGACCCCCTGGCCCCCCCACCCCACCCACACCAGGATCTCAACGAGGCCTACTCGCACATTTGCCTGTTGAACTCGCAGTTCCTGGGGCAGCCGCACATGGATGCTGTGGTGGCGCTGCTGGGCGCGCACTCCCATTGTCTGTAAACGACCCCCTGGCCCCCCCACCCCACCCACACCAGGATCTCAACGAGGCCTACTCGCACATTTGCCTGTTGAACTCGCAGTTCCTGGGGCAGCCGCACATGGATGCTGTGGTGGCGCTGCTGGGCGCGCACTCCCATTGTCTGTAAACGACCCCCTGGCCCCCCCACCCCACCCACACCAGGATCTCAACGAGGCCTACTCGCACATTTGCCTGTTGAACTCGCAGTTCCTGGGGCAGCCGCACATGGATGCTGTGGTGGCGCTGCTGGGCGCGCACTCCCATTGTCTGTAAACGACCCCCTGGCCCCCCCACCCCACCCACACCAGGATCTCAACGAGGCCTACTCGCACATTTGCCTGTTGAACTCGCAGTTCCTGGGGCAGCCGCACATGGATGCTGTGGTGGCGCTGCTGGGCGCGCACTCCCATTGTCTGTAAACGACCCCCTGGCCCCCCCACCCCACCCACACCAGGATCTCAACGAGGCCTACTCGCACATTTGCCTGTTGAACTCGCAGTTCCTGGGGCAGCCGCACATGGATGCTGTGGTGGCGCTGCTGGGCGCGCACTCCCATTGTCTGTAAACGACCCCCTGGCCCCCCCACCCCACCCACACCAGGATCTCAACGAGGCCTACTCGCACATTTGCCTGTTGAACTCGCAGTTCCTGGGGCAGCCGCACATGGATGCTGTGGTGGCGCTGCTGGGCGCGCACTCCCATTGTCTGTAAACGACCCCCTGGCCCCCCCACCCCACCCACACCAGGATCTCAACGAGGCCTACTCGCACATTTGCCTGTTGAACTCGCAGTTCCTGGGGCAGCCGCACATGGATGCTGTGGTGGCGCTGCTGGGCGCGCACTCCCATTGTCTGTAAACGACCCCCTGGCCCCCCCACCCCACCCACACCAGGATCTCAACGAGGCCTACTCGCACATTTGCCTGTTGAACTCGCAGTTCCTGGGGCAGCCGCACATGGATGCTGTGGTGGCGCTGCTGGGCGCGCACTCCCATTGTCTGTAAACGACCCCCTGGCCCCCCCACCCCACCCACACCAGGATCTCAACGAGGCCTACTCGCACATTTGCCTGTTGAACTCGCAGTTCCTGGGGCAGCCGCACATGGATGCTGTGGTGGCGCTGCTGGGCGCGCACTCCCATTGTCTGTAAACGACCCCCTGGCCCCCCCACCCCACCCACACCAGGATCTCAACGAGGCCTACTCGCACATTTGCCTGTTGAACTCGCAGTTCCTGGGGCAGCCGCACATGGATGCTGTGGTGGCGCTGCTGGGCGCGCACTCCCATTGTCTGTAAACGACCCCCTGGCCCCCCCACCCCACCCACACCAGGATCTCAACGAGGCCTACTCGCACATTTGCCTGTTGAACTCGCAGTTCCTGGGGCAGCCGCACATGGATGCTGTGGTGGCGCTGCTGGGCGCGCACTCCCATTGTCTGTAAACGACCCCCTGGCCCCCCCACCCCACCCACACCAGGATCTCAACGAGGCCTACTCGCACATTTGCCTGTTGAACTCGCAGTTCCTGGGGCAGCCGCACATGGATGCTGTGGTGGCGCTGCTGGGCGCGCACTCCCATTGTCTGTAAACGACCCCCTGGCCCCCCCACCCCACCCACACCAGGATCTCAACGAGGCCTACTCGCACATTTGCCTGTTGAACTCGCAGTTCCTGGGGCAGCCGCACATGGATGCTGTGGTGGCGCTGCTGGGCGCGCACTCCCATTGTCTGTAAACGACCCCCTGGCCCCCCCACCCCACCCACACCAGGATCTCAACGAGGCCTACTCGCACATTTGCCTGTTGAACTCGCAGTTCCTGGGGCAGCCGCACATGGATGCTGTGGTGGCGCTGCTGGGCGCGCACTCCCATTGTCTGTAAACGACCCCCTGGCCCCCCCACCCCACCCACACCAGGATCTCAACGAGGCCTACTCGCACATTTGCCTGTTGAACTCGCAATTTCTGGGGCAGCCGCACGTGGATGCTCTGGTGGCGCTGCTGGGCCCGCACTCCCATTGTCTGTAAACGACCCCCTGGCCCCCACCCCACCCACACCAGGATCTCAACGAGGCCTACTCGCACATTTGCCTGTTGAACTCGCAATTTCTGGGGCAGCCGCACGTGGATGCTCTGGTGGCGCTGCTGGGCCCGCACTCCCATTGTCTGTAAACGACCCCCTGGCCCCCACCCCACCCACACCAGGATCTCAACGAGGCCTACTCGCACATTTGCCTGTTGAACTCGCAATTTCTGGGGCAGCCGCACGTGGATGCTCTGGTGGCGCTGCTGGGCCCGCACTCCCATTGTCTGTAAACGACCCCCTGGCCCCCACCCCACCCACACCAGGATCTCAACGAGGCCTACTCGCACATTTGCCTGTTGAACTCGCAGTTCCTGGGGCAGCCGCACATGGATGCTGTGGTGGCGCTGCTGGGCGCGCACTCCCATTGTCTGTAAACGACCCCCTGGCCCCCCCACCCCACCCACACCAGGATCTCAACGAGGCCTACTCGCACATTTGCCTGTTGAACTCGCAATTTCTGGGGCAGCCGCACGTGGATGCTCTGGTGGCGCTGCTGGGCCCGCACTCCCATTGTCTGTAAACGACCCCCTGGCCCCCACCCCACCCACACCAGGATCTCAACGAGGCCTACTCGCACATTTGCCTGTTGAACTCGCAGTTCCTGGGGCAGCCGCACATGGATGCTGTGGTGGCGCTGCTGGGCGCGCACTCCCATTGTCTGTAAACGACCCCCTGGCCCCCCCACCCCACCCACACCAGGATCTCAACGAGGCCTACTCGCACATTTGCCTGTTGAACTCGCAGTTCCTGGGGCAGCCGCACATGGATGCTGTGGTGGCGCTGCTGGGCGCGCACTCCCATTGTCTGTAAACGACCCCCTGGCCCCCCCACCCCACCCACACCAGGATCTCAACGAGGCCTACTCGCACATTTGCCTGTTGAACTCGCAGTTCCTGGGGCAGCCGCACATGGATGCTGTGGTGGCGCTGCTGGGCGCGCACTCCCATTGTCTGTAAACGACCCCCTGGCCCCCCCACCCCACCCACACCAGGATCTCAACGAGGCCTACTCGCACATTTGCCTGTTGAACTCGCAATTTCTGGGGCAGCCGCACGTGGATGCTCTGGTGGCGCTGCTGGGCCCGCACTCCCATTGTCTGTAAACGACCCCCTGGCCCCCACCCCACCCACACCAGGATCTCAACGAGGCCTACTCGCACATTTGCCTGTTGAACTCGCAATTTCTGGGGCAGCCGCACGTGGATGCTCTGGTGGCGCTGCTGGGCCCGCACTCCCATTGTCTGTAAACGACCCCCTGGCCCCCACCCCACCCACACCAGGATCTCAACGAGGCCTACTCGCACATTTGCCTGTTGAACTCGCAATTTCTGGGGCAGCCGCACGTGGATGCTCTGGTGGCGCTGCTGGGCCCGCACTCCCATTGTCTGTAAACGACCCCCTGGCCCCCACCCCACCCACACCAGGATCTCAACGAGGCCTACTCGCACATTTGCCTGTTGAACTCGCAGTTCCTGGGGCAGCCGCACATGGATGCTGTGGTGGCGCTGCTGGGCGCGCACTCCCATTGTCTGTAAACGACCCCCTGGCCCCCCCACCCCACCCACACCAGGATCTCAACGAGGCCTACTCGCACATTTGCCTGTTGAACTCGCAATTTCTGGGGCAGCCGCACGTGGATGCTCTGGTGGCGCTGCTGGGCCCGCACTCCCATTGTCTGTAAACGACCCCCTGGCCCCCACCCCACCCACACCAGGATCTCAACGAGGCCTACTCGCACATTTGCCTGTTGAACTCGCAATTTCTGGGGCAGCCGCACGTGGATGCTCTGGTGGCGCTGCTGGGCCCGCACTCCCATTGTCTGTAAACGACCCCCTGGCCCCCACCCCACCCACACCAGGATCTCAACGAGGCCTACTCGCACATTTGCCTGTTGAACTCGCAATTTCTGGGGCAGCCGCACGTGGATGCTCTGGTGGCGCTGCTGGGCCCGCACTCCCATTGTCTGTAAACGACCCCCTGGCCCCCACCCCACCCACACCAGGATCTCAACGAGGCCTACTCGCACATTTGCCTGTTGAACTCGCAGTTCCTGGGGCAGCCGCACATGGATGCTGTGGTGGCGCTGCTGGGCGCGCACTCCCAATGTCTGTAAACGACCCCCTGGCCCCCCCACCCCACCCACACCAGGATCTCAACGAGGCCTACTCGCACATTTGCCTGTTGAACTCGCAATTTCTGGGGCAGCCGCACGTGGATGCTCTGGTGGCGCTGCTGGGCCCGCACTCCCATTGTCTGTAAACGACCCCCTGGCCCCCACCCCACCCACACCAGGATCTCAACGAGGCCTACTCGCACATTTGCCTGTTGAACTCGCAATTTCTGGGGCAGCCGCACGTGGATGCTCTGGTGGCGCTGCTGGGCCCACACTCCCATTGTCTGTAAACGACCCCCTGGCCCCCACCCCACCCACACCAGGATCTCAACGAGGCCTACTCGCACATTTGCCTGTTGAACTCGCAGTTCCTGGGGCAGCCGCACATGGATGCTGTGGTGGCGCTGCTGGGCGCGCACTCCCATTGTCTGTAAACGACCCCCTGGCCCCCCCACCCCACCCACACCAGGATCTCAACGAGGCCTACTCGCACATTTGCCTGTTGAACTCGCAATTTCTGGGGCAGCCGCACGTGGATGCTCTGGTGGCGCTGCTGGGCCCGCACTCCCATTGTCTGTAAACGACCCCCTGGCCCCCACCCCACCCACACCAGGATCTCAACGAGGCCTACTCGCACATTTGCCTGTTGAACTCGCAATTTCTGGGGCAGCCGCACGTGGATGCTCTGGTGGCGCTGCTGGGCCCGCACTCCCATTGTCTGTAAACGACCCCCTGGCCCCCACCCCACCCACACCAGGATCTCAACGAGGCCTACTCGCACATTTGCCTGTTGAACTCGCAGTTCCTGGGGCAGCCGCACATGGATGCTGTGGTGGCGCTGCTGGGCGCGCACTCCCATTGTCTGTAAACGACCCCCTGGCCCCCCCACCCCACCCACACCAGGATCTCAACGAGGCCTACTCGCACATTTGCCTGTTGAACTCGCAATTTCTGGGGCAGCCGCACGTGGATGCTCTGGTGGCGCTGCTGGGCCCGCACTCCCATTGTCTGTAAACGACCCCCTGGCCCCCACCCCACCCACACCAGGATCTCAACGAGGCCTACTCGCACATTTGCCTGTTGAACTCGCAATTTCTGGGGCAGCCGCACGTGGATGCTCTGGTGGCGCTGCTGGGCCCGCACTCCCATTGTCTGTAAACGACCCCCTGGCCCCCACCCCACCCACACCAGGATCTCAACGAGGCCTACTCGCACATTTGCCTGTTGAACTCGCAATTTCTGGGGCAGCCCCACGTGGATGCCGTGGTGGCGCTGCTGGGCGCGCACTCCCTGCCCATGCTGCTGCAGTTCTGCCTCGATTCCCTCTCGCACAAGGTATGTGGTGCTGACTATAGGTTGCTCTCAGTGGATTGCACACATCTGTGTGCTGCACGCGCAGTTCCTGGGGCAGCCGCACGTGCATGCTCTGGTGGCGCTGCTGGTCGCGCACTCCCTGCCCATGCTGCTGCAGTTCTGCCTTGACTCGCTCGCCCACAAGGCGTGTGTGTGTGTGCGTGCTGTGCACTCACTCGGCTATTTCTGCTGCATTTACGGAGTTCCTTCCCATGTTTGTCCAGTTGTGCCCTGTCGTACCTTTCTCTTTGGAAAGCTGGTCCAGTGCTCTCTCGTGTTATTGACAATCCTGACATGCATTCGTTTCCCCCACCTCTGTGCGTTGACTTTCTTGCGTTGACTTTGACTTTGACTTGCCTTGACCTTGCCACCTAGCAGGTCTCTCACGAATGGTCAGCTCTGGCTGCTGAGGTCGTGCCCCTCTTGCCTGCTGAAAGCCGAGTTTTGAGTCGACTCAAAACTCGACTCACTGCTGAGGTCGTGCCCCTCTTGCCTTCTGAAAGCATGCAGACTCCCTTAATAAGCGACGGACAATTTTAGAGGCACCTCAAACATTGTTGTTGGCCTTGGTGTTCCCACCTTGTCTTGCAGGTCTCTCATCAATTGTCGCCTCTAGCTGCTGAGCTTCTGAGCCTCTTGCCTGCTGAGGACCTTCAATCTCCCTTTGAATCTGGTCTCCCAGGTAAGTTGACTTGCGTTGACCCTGTCTTTCCAGGTAGTTTGACTTGCGTTGACCTTGCCCTTGCAGGTAGGTTGGCTCTCATTGACCCTGCCCTCTTCCCGCCCTCTTCTGCACTTGCTTTTCTTGTAATATAAGCCCCTTCAAATCCAGAGCACTTTCCCTTATGCCGAATCTGTCACCAGCCTGTGTTCAGTGCATATCAGCCACAGATTTACTACTTCAGCACAGAACAGCAGCGGTAGCAGCCGCAGCAGTGACTTTTTTAAGTCGGCTCAAAAAGCCTGAACCACAAACCCAAAACCCTTTCTTCCCTCCTGTCCCATCACTCACCAGCCTGTGTGGAGCGCATATCAGCCGCAGCATCGGCACTGCAGCACAGAGCAGCAGCGGCAGTGGAGGGAGTTATTGCTGCATTGAGAGATGTGGGGTCGCTGCTGGGGCTGCTCGTGATGCTCGACGTATCCATTGTAAAAGGGGGGGGTTGGGGAATGGTTAATGCAGTATCGGCACTGCAGCACAGGGCAGCGGCAGCGGATGAAGTGATTGCTGCGTTGGAAGACGTGGGGTCGCTGCTGGGGCTGCTGGGGCTGCTGGGGCTGCTGGGGCTGCTGGGTGTGTCCATTGTGTGGCGCGGGTTTGATTGGGAGTGCATGGGAGATTCAGTGTGTGAGGAGTGGATGGAGATGAATCCTTTCATGCATCGCACTCATGCTCCTTGGTCAGGACACTAGTCTTCTCACCAAGAGGCAATGACTGTCTGATGCAGCTGTTCAGATTCAGAGTCAGCCGTTTGAATGAATCGAGCAGCAACATATCTGCGCCTTGTCATCCCCTCTCTCAAATCAACTACCTGATGCAGCTGCTTCGGATCAACCCTTCTTTTTATGTTTTCCTCCTGTCATAGATACCTTTTTCTCTTCCCCTCCTCCTCCTTTCCCACCTTCTAAACACGTCTCAAGATTTCCCGCTCCCCTTTTTCCCCTTTCTCGCCCCGTCAGGCACACGTATCCACACTGCATTTCATGGATGGCCTCGTGCCTTCTTCCAACCATAACCGCCTGCTGCAGCTCTTCAAACTCAGCCCATCCAACCTGCCACTCCTCTTGCCCTCATTTCCTTCTGTTTTCCCCCATTCCCCCCGCTTCTCGCCTGTCAGGCCCATGCATCCACACTGCAGTTCATCCAGGCAGCGCCATGGCTGGGCCTCGTGCCTCCTCTCGTGCCCTCATTTACTTCTGTTCTCCCCAACCCTTCCCCCTCTTACTCCCCCTGTCAGGCACACGCCTCAACCCTGCAGTTCATCCAGGCAGCGCCATGGCTGGGCCTCGTGCCTCCTCTCGTGCCCTCATTTACTTCTGTTCTCCCCAACCCTTCCCCCTCTTACTCCCCCTGTCAGACACACGCCTCAACACTGCAGTTCATCCAGGCAGCGCCATGGCTGGGCCTCGTGCCTCCTCTCGTGCCCTCATTTACTTCTGTTCTCCCCAACCCTTCCCCCTCTTACTCCCCCTGTCAGGCACACGCCTCAACCCTGCAGTTCATCCAGGCAGCGCCATGGCTGGGCCTCGTGCCTCCTCTCGTGCCCTCATTTACTTCTGTTCTCCCCAACCCTTCCCCCTCTTACTCCCCCTGTCAGGCACACGCCTCAACACTGCAGTTCATCCAGGCAGCGCCATGGCTGGGCCTCGTGCCTCCTCTCGTGCCCTCATTTACTTCTGTTCTCCCCAACCCTTCCCCCTCTTACTCCCCCTGTCAGGCACACGCCTCAACCCTGCAGTTCATCCAGGCAGCGCCATGGCTGGGCCTCGTGCCTCCTCTCGTGCTTTCATTTACTTCTGTTCTCCCCAACCCTTCCCCCTCTTACTCCCCCTGTCAGGCACACGCCTCAACCCTGCAGTTCATCCAGGCAGCGCCATGGCTGGGCCTCGTGCCTCCTCTCGTGCCCTCATTTACTTCTGTTCTCCCCAACCCTTCCCCCTCTTACTCCCCCTGTCAGGCACACGCCTCAACCCTGCAGTTCATCCAGGCAGCGCCATGGCTGAGCCTCGTGCCCTCCCCCAGCCACAACCCCTCCGACCTGCCACGGCTCCTGCCCTCATTTCCTTCTCTTTTCCCCAAAGCTCTCTCTCTTTCCCCGCCAACCCCCCGGTTTTTCCCCATGTCAGGCGCACGCCTCCACGCTGCAGTTCATCCAAGCAGCGCCATGGCTGGGCCTCTTGCCCTCCCCCAGCCACAACCGCCTGCTGCAGCTGCTCAGAATCAACCCCTCCGACCTGCCTCCCCACGAGGCCTTCACCCCCAGGGGCCTCCGCCACCGCTCCCCCCGCCACCGCCCCTCCCACGAATCACGGCGAGAAACAAGAGGCGGCGAAACAACAAGGGCGGAATCATCTGTGGCCCGTGCTGCTTCTGCTGCTGCTGCTGCTGCTGTTGATGCTGATGATGATTGTCGTCGTGGTGATGTTGCGATGGGTAGCGGTGCAGATGGGCAGAGGATGGATCAGGGCAGAGATGGTTTTTCAGCTGCCCGAGGGGGTGAAGGGGGGATCGAGGACGGGCAGATGGGTTTGCCGCCGGAAACTTCTCTCCCTCCTGCTGCTGCTACTGCTGCCGATTGTCCTGATGCTGCTGCCTCTGAACCTGATGGTTCGCTGTTGGAGCTTCGCAATCGGCCGCATGGATCCCGTCGTTCTGATGTGTGCGATAAAGCCTGGCACGGCGATCCACCCCAGTCGGGCCCTCCTCCTCCTCCTGCCCCCCCAGCAGCCCCTCTCACGGACCTACTGCAGCGGGTGTGTGCGTCCGTGCCAGTGGTGCGGTCATCCATGCTTGGCATGCTGCAGGCCGCACAGGTAGCAGGTGAGTCGGCCACACTCAGGCTCACAGGTACAGGTTTACGGTGCAATGCAGCATTGCCCCGTGCCCCCCCAGCAGCCCCTCTGACGGACCTGCTGCAGCGGGTGTGTGTGTCCGTGCCTGTGGTGCGCTCATCTATGCTTGGCATGCTGCAAGCTGCTCAGGTCGCAGGTGAGAGACGGTCACAAGGGGTTGCAGGTTTATGGTTTGAGACGAAGAGGGGGTGTGCAGTGCGGTGTGGTGCACCACTCCCTCCCTCTCCGTGCCAGCGGTGTGCTCCTCCGCATGCTGCACGCCGCACAGGTGAGTGGAAGGTGAGCCGATCACAAATGGTTACAGTGTGGTGCAGCACCCTTCCTCCCACTCCGTGCCAGCGGTGCGCTCCTCCTCCATTTCATGCTCTGCATACTGCAGGCTGCACAGGTGGCAGGTGAGTTGATGAGAGGTGTTGGGATCTGAAGGGTTCCACTCAGGTTCTAGGGTTTCGGGTTTCTGAGGCGCCTCAAAGACCGTCTCGTCCAGAGGGTGTGTGCCTGCATGCATGTGGTGCACTGCTCATGCTCGGCATGCTGCAGGCTGCTCAGGTGGCAGGTGAGATGATGAGAGGGATGCTGCTGAGATATGGGGTTCAGTTCAGGGTTCAGGGTTCAGTTCAGGGTTCAGGGTTCAGGGTACACAGAGGAAAACTGTTGCATCGCCCGTGCCCTCTCCACCCTCTCACTCCCTTCGGTTTTCTTCTTCTCCCTTCCATTCCCACTTCCCTGTTCTCTCCCGCGTTCCCTTTATCTTCCCCTCCCCCACTACCCATCCAGAGGCCAGTTACTGGGGCGGCGTGCAGGCAGAGACTCAATCCGCCCACGCCTTTCCCACCTTTCCCTGGTCATCATCATTGCCCCAGTCTTTCAACTCTCACACCGTCCACTTCCCCGTCCACTTCCCCGTCCTCTTCCCCGTCCTCTGCCCGTTTCTTTTCCCCTTCTTCCCCTTCCTCGTCCCCCTCTTCCCCTCCTTCGCCACCCCTCCCCATCCAGAGGCCATCTATTGGGGAAGCGTGCAGGCAGACAGCCTCTTTGCCCACGCCCTCTCAATCCTCTCCACCGCTCTCCATCCCTTCCTACCTCTGCTCGCCCCACCGGTGGAGCCCTGGGCGGGCAAGAGGGGAAACCCAAGGGAGTTTCACCACCTGCACTCGCTGCTGCTCGCTGTAAGGCTTGTCTTGTAGTCGACCCACCCAGGGGTTAATCCTTGGGTGCTTAAGGGGGGGTTGGGAAATCCAAGGGAGTTCTCTGCACTCACTGTTGCTCGCTGTATGCTCATCCTCTCCGTTCTTCTGCCCATGTTCCTGGGTTCAAGGTCTCACGCCCATCTGAACACTAAACCCTGATTTGAACCGTAAGACCCAATCTCCAGCTCCTTGTAACCCCTTGTATTTAATTGACTCACGAAGCCTGAGAGGTTTCAGGCAATGACAGTAGGAAGACCTGTAGCATGGGCAGCATGTGTGCTGTAGTTGCTCCTGCTTGGTGAATGCTTGATCGTTCTTTGGTTTTTTTTTTTACATGTTGTAGCAATCCTGCGAGTTCCCATGAAGCACACTTGATTGACAGCTGCTGTGACGTGCCTCCCCCTTTCACCTTGCCATCTGGTTTTTTTCTGGTTCCGTCTTCTGCTGTCCGCCCCTTTCTCGCAGCTCATTTGTCAAAGTCAAGCGACAACTGCTACAGAAGCAGCTGCAGAAGCAACAGCATCAACACCAGCAACAGCGGCAGCAGCAATGGGACCTGCACCGGGAACTCATGCAGACAGCCACGCCAGAACACCAGACACCATCATCACCGCTCCCTCCTCTCCTTCTCCTCATTCCTCAGCTTACAACACTCCAGCCCACTCCCTCTCCTCCTCCTCCCCCTTCACTCCCCCCACTGCCCCTCTCACTACCACCCCTCAATCTCTCCCCATCGCAGTCCCTCACTCAGGCCCCATCCCATCCTCCTCCCTAGCCAACCTTCCCGAACCTAGCTCGAAATCTGGCCCTCTATCTCGTCCCTCCATGCCTGGAGGCTCGGCCGCTGGCCATACCGAACGTGCAGGCTCGGCAGCCACGTTTCCCAGGGCAGGAGGTTTGGGGGGAGGGAGGGGAGGTGAGGAAGGGGATGCGGTGGTGTGGGGGGGGAGTGTGGTGGTTCATCTGTTGGGGCAGCAGAGGCGGTTTGAGCTAGATGATCCGTGCTGGCATGCTGTGGCTGTGAGCGATTATGAGAGCATTTGCAGGGGTGGTGAGGGGTTGGGTGGTTTCGATGCTGGTGCTGCTGATGGGGGTGGAAGAGGGGGAGGGGGAGGGGTGATGCTTGGGGTGATAGGAAGTGCGGAGAGGCAGCGGGGCAAGAAGGCTGCGGCAGCAGCGGCAGCGAGAGAGGCAGAGGCGCGGCTTCAGCAACTCAAAGCCCAGGTAAGGTGTAAACAGTGTGGTGCCCTAGGGCATGTTGCTCGCTTACCCTAGGCCGTTTTTGCCTAGGGGAAGCTGCCATGTTACCCTGGGCCGTTTTGCCCTATGGCATGTTGCATGCACATCTTGCCCTTATCATGACATTATCATGCTGAGCTTGACATATCACAGAGTGGCAGAGCTGCGTACGGGTCAAGTGCCACTCAACACAGAAGAGTGGCAGTGCCACTCAACACAGAAGAGTGGCAGTGCCACTCAACACAGAAGAGTGGCAGTGCCACTCAACACAGAAGAGTGGCAGTGCCACTCAACACAGAAGAGTGGCAGTGCCACTCAACACAGAAGAGTGGCAGTGCCACTCAACACAGAAGAGTGGCAGTGCCACTCAACACAGAAGAGTGGCAGTGCCACTCAACACAGAAGAGTGGCAGTGCCACTCAACACAGAAGAGTGGCAGTGCCACTCAACACAGAAGAGTGGCAGTGCCACTCAACACAGAAGAGTGGCAGTGCCACTCAACACAGAAGAGTGGCAGTGCCACTCAACACAGAAGAGTGGCAGTGCCACTCAACACAGAAGAGTGGCAGTGCCACTCAACACAGAAGAGTGGCAGTGCCACTCAACACAGAAGAGTGGCAGAGTGTCAGAGTGGTAGGCGTCTCAGAAGGCAGTTTTGGGTCGACTCGAAAGTCAACTCGTATCATGAGGTCTTAGAGCTCGCATTCCACAGAGCTGCGCTGCAGGCAGGTTAACAGGCAGGTAGTTTTCTCAGAAGACAAACACACGAGGTGCTGACGCTTTGCTGCCAAGCTTGCAGCGGCAAGGCAAAGCGGCACCAGCACATATCCTTGTATCAATCTTGAGATGACTCAGAAATGATACAAGCAGCACCACACGCACAAGCTCCCTTCTCTTCGGTACGCCTTCGTGCGCCCTCTCCCATCCCTTCTGCCTGGTGTTTGCCTGCTTGGTTCCTCCCTGCCTTCTCCCTGCCCACACAGGCAACCACCTTTGGAGAATGCAAGGCGACTGCAGCAGGTCAGCCAGCAGGCGTTCACACCCATTGCTGTCTGAGCTCCCTATCAAAATTAAACTCCTTTATGCGCTCTCTCCCCTCCCTACCTGCGTGCTCCCCGCCTGTGTACTTCCTGCCCACACAGGCAACGGCCTTTGTGGAGAATGCCAGGCGACTGCAGCAGTTCATCCAGCAGGCGTGCACCCTCTTGCTGACCGACCCCCCTCTCATTTCGCGTTATAGCCTCCGTACCCTCTTACTTGCCCTACCTACTCCTCCATTCACACGCAGGCAACGGCCTTTGTGGAAAATGCAAGGCGACTGCAGCAGGTGAGCCAGCAGGCGTTCATCCTCTTTGCCGCCCAGGCTCCTCTGCCGCCCAAAGCTGCCAGGGTGTGTGGCGCGGATGGCCTTCCCACTGCCACTTGCTTCCCCATGCCGCCCTGCGGCTCGTCTGCCCCTCCTGCTTCAGACTAGTTAAAGGTTGTTTCTGAGTGTAAATTGTTGAAGGTTGGGCTGTGCGCCTCTGCTGCCCAAGGCTGCCAGAGTGTGTGGCCGGATGACGTTCCCACTGCCACCTGCTTCTCCATACTGCCCTTTGGCTCGTCTGCCGCTCCTACTGCGGACTAGTTAAAAGGCCCTCTACAGCTTTGCAAGTGATTCTTTATAGCAACTGGACCAGAGCTTTTAAAGCTGATGGAAACCACCAGGGCCTCAGATTGGTTTTGGGCTAGTCTGTAAGTACCAGAGTTGGTACAAAAAGTTATGCTGAAAAATCAGACAAATTAACCATTTTATGCCATTTTACACAACAAAATTCATAGTCTTTCGTGTTTCTTTTCAAAAAAATGCTGGAAAATCAGCCCTGGTTCTAAAAATAGTCTGAAATCTCAGCCTTCTTAAACCAAATCCGCCTTTTTTCGCTGAAATCCGAGGCCCTGGAAACCACCAACATAGACACCTACTTGGTGTGCCCTTCAGGTCATCGCTGTTACTACTGGCATGGCAACAGAGGCTTACAGCGCTGCTATGGTATGGTGGGTGTGTGAAGTGGTGAATACGTGTGCCTGAGCAGGAGCAAGAGGGAGTTGAGCATCATATCTGCAGGTAGACTGATGTCCAGTAGAGGATGGTTTAAAGCCCGTAGGCAAAATAGTGACCCCCCCCTTTGTCAGAATGTGATATTTGTCTAGCCTGCAGTGGGGTACTCTATAGCGAGTATAGCCCAAATTAGGGTTTCCTATATGTACTCAACTGCCTGCTAGTGCAACCCCTCTTCTCTATTCTCATCCTTCATTCCTACTTTCTGACATGCTATCAGAGCAGGTCGACCCTCCCTGGTCGATCCTGTGGATGGGCCCACCTAATGCTTCCGCTGCTGTCCTGCCTATCACGCGCCCCGGGCGCGCGACGTTTTTTGCTTGCCGCGCGCTCGGGGCGCGCGGCGTTTTTCTTCCCGCCGCGTGCTCGGGGCGCGCGGCGGTTTTCTGCCTGACGCGTCGCCCCGTGGGACCCGCGCGCCCCCCTCGCTGGACCCGCGCGACGCCCTGCGAGACCCGCGCGCTGCCCCGCTGGACCCGCGCGCGCTGCCCCGTCGCCCAGCGCGCCGCCCCGTGGGACCCGCGCGCTGCCCCCGTCGACCCGCGCGTCGCCCCAGGGGACCCGCGCGCGCTGCCCCCGTCGACCGCGCGTCGCCCCAGGGGACCCGCGCGCGCTGCCCCGTGGACCCGCGCGCGCTGCCCTGTGGACCCGTGCGCCGCCCCTTGCCCTCGTGCAGCTGCAGGGCGGCTTCTTCCCCGCCCCCCCCCCCCCTCCTTCCCCGTCGTCTCTCTGCTGCGCGTGCAGCCGTGGGGGAGGGTATGGGGGTGGCGGGTATGGGGGTGGCGGGTGTGCGTCGTCCCTTGCTCCTCCTCCTCCTCTCTCTCCCACTGCTGCAGCTGCTGCTGAGGGGGGTGGGTGTGTGGGAGCCGAGGGAGTTGTCAGAATCCCAACCACTAGACCATTGGGATAAAAGGGCTTGTTAAGTAGCGGGTCAGTGCGCCCATAACCCCCCAGGACAACGAGCCTGTAACCCTTCCCTAGGATCAATCGGGGATCACCAGTGGACCTCTGACAGGAATCGCGCTAGGGGGGTGACACGGGATTGGAACTAGGGGTGCACCAGGGGGTGTGTGAAAGGGGGGTGGGACAGTTGGGGGAGGTTGAGCGGAGGCAGCCGTCGTGTCGTCAGCAGCGCCAGTAGTCCGGGGCTCTGCTCCGGTAGCCCAGCGAGCCTGCTGCGCCAGTCGCCCGTGGGTCCGTTGCTCCTGCCGCTCGTCTTAGCCGCGGAGCCAGTTACTCCAGTAGTCCGGGGCGTTGCTCCGGTAGCCTCTGTGCCAGCCGCTCCTGTTGCCCGTGTGTCTGCAGCTTCAGCCGTCGCCTCCTATCTCCTCTCCTCTCACAGTCCCGCCTCCTCCTCCTCACTTGCCCTTTGTGAATGCCTCTAGCTTTGCTTGTACTTGTGAACCTGCTCTATGATTGCTTGCTGTGCTGATTATACCCCACTTTGACTATGGGGATGTGTCAGAATGTGATATTTGTCTAGCCTGCACTGGGGTACTCTATAGCGAGTATAGCCTAAATTAGGGTTTCCTATATGTACTCAAGTGCCTGCTAATGCAACCCCTCTTCTCTGTTCTCATCCTTCATTCCTACTTTCTGACACCCTTCTAGTTGGGTCCACTAGAAATCAGAAACATACTTTATTTTGTTTTGGAAAGTTAGAAGTGTTGACTTGTGATTTTTTTTTTTTCCCGTCTGTCATTTCAATTTCGATACCGTAGGCGTCGCTCGCAAGCATGTGCAAATGAGTCGCATCGTTGTGACATGCAATTCTCATTGTGCAAGAGTGACAAATTCACATCGACTGGTAGCATGTGCAATTCACACGGAACAACTGCCATGGGAAAAAAACATACGCGGGAAAAAACATACGCGGGAAAAAACATAGAGTTCCAAGGTGAAGGGAAGGGACGAGAGGGGAGAGCACGAAGGCGACGGGGCGAGAGGGGAAACGAGGAGGACGGGAAGAAGGGGGAAAAATGAGGGGGACTGACGAGCGGGGACACGAAGGGGGCGAGATTAAGCGGGGGACATGTAGGCGACGGGACGACGGAGAACGTGAGGAGGGCGACGGGATGGGAGGTGAGAGATGAAAAGAAGATGAGAGGGCATTTCGTGGCGAGCTCGAGGCGGGCGAGGTGGGTGATGGGAGGGAGAGAGGCAGGGCGCGATTGGGCGTTTCAGGGCGAGCGCGAAGGCGACGGGAAGGGAGATCACGAGGGCGACGGGAAGGCATGGGATGGGCGAGTGCGAAAGCGCGGGAGCGGGAGGGAAGGCACGAGGGCGACGGGACGGGACGGGAGAGCGCGGAGGCGATGGGAAGCGAGGAAAGACACGGGGTGGGCGACGCGAGGGTGTTTCGGAGGGGAGGCGAGAGGAGTAAGAGGGAGGGGGCGACGGGAAACGAGAGAAAGCGAGCTCGTCAGGAGAGGGGGGGAGAAGGGCGAGAGGAAGGGAGAGAGGAAGGGCGCGGGTAGCGCGTTTGAGGGCGAGTGCAAAGGCGACGAGGCAGGCGATGGGAGGAGAAAGTGGGTGGGGGATGGGAGGGCGTTTCGTGACGAGCAGGAAGGCGATGGGGTGGGGGATGGGGGGTGTGAGAGGACGCGTGCATCGAGGGCGACCAGAAGGGAGCGACGAGAGAGAGAGCGATGGGAAGGGAGCGACGAGAGAAAGAGCGACGGGAAGGGAGCGACGAGAGAAAGAGCGACGGGAAGGGAGCGACGAGAGAAAGAGTGACGGGAAGGGAGGGGAGAGAGCAAGAGCGACGGGAAGGGAGGGGAGAGAGCAAGAGCGACGGGTTAGGGAAGGGGAAATACGGGGGGAGGGAAGGCAATGGGAAGGGAGAGACGACAGCGAGGGTAATGGGAGGGGGGCGGAGAAATCGAGGGCGATGGGAGGGGAGCGAAGAACACCAGAAAGATGGTAGGACGAGACGGGAAGGGAAAGGACGAAAGCGACGGGACGGGAAGGGAAAGGACAAAAGCGACGGGACGGGAAGGGAAAGGACGAAAGCGACGGGACTGGAAGGGAAAGGACGAAAGCGACGGGATGGGAAGGGAAATTGTGAAAACGACGGGATGGGAGCGGAGAAAGTGAGAGCGACGGGAGGAGAGTGGAGAAATTGAGAGCGACGGGAGGAGAGCGGAGAAAGTGAGAGCGACGGGAGGAGAGCGGGGAAATTGAGAGCGACGGGAGGAGAGCGGAGAAAGTGAGAGCGACGAGAGGAGAGCAGAGAAATCGAGAGCGGCGGGAGGAGAGCGGAGAAAGTGAGAGCGACGGGAGGAGAGCGGCGACAGTGAGAGCGACGGGAAGAGAGAAGAGAAAGTGAGAGCCAAGGGAGGAGAGCAGAGAAATCGAGAGCGAGGGCCAAAGAACGTGAGGAGGGGAGGGCGACGGAATGGGAGGGGAAATCGAGAGGGCGATCGGGAGGGTGTCAAATTATATATATATGTTTAGGTTATCTAGGCTGTATGGGGGTCAGCACTAGGGGGTACAGAAACTTTCTCGACACTCTAGTCTTGTACCCCAACCTTGACCTCATCTCATCCATCCTTGCCTAAGATTCTAACATGGCATCTAGAGCATAGGTCCTTAGGACCTAGGATTAGGGCCCACCGTTTACTTCTTACCTACCTACCTTGCCTACTGCCCGCGCGCGCCTCGGCTGCACGTGCGCGGCCCTTTTTTTTTTCCCGCGCGCGCCTCTTAAGCCGCCCGCGCGCAGCCCGTTTAGGCCCGTTTAGGCCTGTTTTCGGCCCCGCGCGCCACGTCAGCCGCCCGCGCAGCATGCCGCCGGCCCGCGCGTCGCGTAAGCCGCCCGCGCGCAGCCCGCTTAGGCCCTGCGCGCCGCGTCCGCCGCCCGCGTAGCCCGTTTTTCGGCCCCGTTTTAGCCTGCCGCCGGCCCCGCGTGTCGCCTCCTCCGGTGACGGCGCGCTGCCCCCCGTCGCCCGTCACGGCGCCTGTGGGACCCGCGCACTGCCCTGCACCAGCTACGCCGCCCCTGGACCCAGAGCAGCCGCCCCTGGCCCCTGAAGCAGCCGCCCCTGGTGCAGCCGCCCCTGGACCCTCGAGCGCCGCCCCTGGACCCAGAGCAGCCGCCCACGGCCCCTGCAGCAGCAGCCCCTGGCCCCTGAAGCAGCCGCCCCTGGTGCAGCCGCCCCTGGACCCCGAGCAGCCGCCCCTGGCCCCTGAAGCAGCCGCCCCTGGTGCAGCCGCCCCTGGACCCAGAGCAGCCGCCCCTGGCCCCTGAAGCAGCCGCCCCTGGAGCAGCCGCCCCTGGACCCAGAGCAGTCGCCCCTGGTGCAGCCGCCCCTGGACTCCGTGCAGCCGCCCCTGGACCCAGAGCAGCCGCCCCTGGACCCTCGAGCGCCGCCCCT